CGGCGGGGGCTAAGACGCAGCAATTGATCAAGTCTGCCGAGGCGATATCAGAAAAGAAGTTCAGCGAGCTCGTGGCCAAGGACCGATTGAATCACGTTGTCGAAAACAAGTGGAAAATATCACTCAAGGAAGCACGCTTACGGCTCCTCAACTACAAGCCACTGTCGCACAAGTCGCCGCAACTGAGTCCCAGTACGGTGGGCGATAGGGGTCACTGTTGCAAAACTCCCTGTCATTTTCTTTTGGGTTTAGGCGCCCAGCCCCCTGGTCATCCGGATACTTCAGGTCAGCATGAGAGTATGTACTGCGGACTAGCAGCGGGCCCGCGGTCATCCCTCTGCCAGTCTAATTGCCAGTTTGCCGCACCAGTCGTAAAATGGTATCCGGCTCGCAAACCACTTACACACGTATGGATGCGCATGATGCTGTACCCAAAATTCGTTCCTGAAAAGCTGATCGATATTTTTCCAAGTGAAATCGAGCGAGCGGCGCGGTGTTTTCGCCAACAACTTTACTTTGGTATTGTCGCGGCCCGAAGACAGCGACAATACCAAAGACAAAGACGGCGAATATCGCCAAGTCCCCTCCTGGATGATGCGGGGAACTTGTGAAAGCCGGGCCCCTACAGACAAAGAATGCAAATACACACGAGAGTTTGAGGTCTTCTGCTATACGGTGCCGAGTTGAAACTTTGGACTTTAATGTTTCCACTTCCCTCCTGGCCACCACAGCTGTGTTCAGTTTTCATCCTAACGTTCATAGGAGTAACTGGGACGAGGAGCGGCGCCATGAGGCAGCAGAGGATTACCGCAGTAATCCCGCTACTGGTCAGCACCGGACTAGCGTTGAAGTCTCTTGCTAAGCCTGGCGATCTTCATTCGCCATGGCAAGGGGATATTGTTCTGTAACTATTCTGCTTATATTAAAATCCCGTTTCGAGTCCGATCCTATTTGTCCTCCTTTCCCCTGGTTCTACCTCTTCTCCTCAACCGAAATGGGCCTCCACAGATTCCCCTGAGCATGTCTACTGCGTCCAAGCCGGACAGAAGCACTATGACCTCTTCACTACCATATACGTTGGCGCGAACTATTGCGGCCGTTGCGGCTTGGCCAACCTTTCGGCCGCAGCGTCGGGCCAGGTCTAAAACTCCGGCACTTCCTGGCCCATATGATGAGGTGGTCGAGGTCGAGGACTCTCCGCCACGGCCAGTCAGTCCAGCAAGTCAGCTGCTGCGTGACAGACTGAAACCAGTGTCATCCATCGGCGTTGGACACGCCGCCCAACTACCCCCAATGAAGTTGCTGGTACCGGTGCGATGAATACACGGGCACGCATACCTCCCTTCGAGGCGTCAAGCAATCCCAGTTCATGACCGTCGCATCAACGGCCAGTCGAGCCATTCAAAACTCCAAAGGCAGCACCAGGAAGCCTGCGAGGCAACGAACTGGCTACCAGTGGGTCCATGTAAGCCTGCTGCTTGTGAGTTTGGAGACCAGGTACTTCAACGGGCTTGCAGTGGAGGTTCCAGAGACGGTGCTGCCTCTGAAGGATACGGTGATCAAGTTTCCTCGGCAGATCTACTGACTTGGCCTCGTTCACCGAGACTTTATTCGATCACCTCCGTCCGCTTCCGCCCACGATCGATCCTGCCAATAAAGATCTCTGGAACCTTTCTTACGCTTCGACCTTCTCTGGCAAGAAAATCGTTACCGTTCCAAACACCGACAAGTACACGACACCGTCAAGCATGCTCGCATCGGGGCACTTTTCGAACAACCAAGCAGGGCAGTTGAAGGTGCTAGTCGTTCTGACATCCACGGATGTGGTTGATAAGCAGGAGCCGGTCACACCGTTGAGGCCAGATCAATGCTCGACGCCAGTCAAGGAAGACAAGAAACGGAGGGTCAAGCAAGAAGACATAAGCCCAGCCTCTAGACGCAAGAAGCGCGTTAAGCAAGAGGAGCAAGTCAAGGAAGAGATACGCGTCAAGATTAAGCACGAAGAGCCCGTTTCAACTTCATCCTGCCAGAGCCCGACACGCGACGAGCTTGGATATACTGCCAAAGAAATTGTTGGACATGGGGATGCGGTAGGCCTTGGTGAGCTGGAAGATCCACTATGCGATTTAGTGTTTGGCAGTGACCCTAGTGGAAAGGTGTATAAAGGCGTGGTGGCCGAAGGAGTCGAAGTGGACGAAGAAGATAGAGAGGAGGAGACCAGTTTTGTTCCGGAGTTCGTAAGAAACCGAACCAACTCATCAACGAGCCGAGCGCTAACTTCAACAGGTAAACCCGGAGTCAATTTCCCAAGCCTTCAGGGAAACTCAAACTCGACTGTCCGACACTAACGCTGCTAAAGCGCTTCCTCCAGCTCACTCTACACGCTTCAAGGGTGCAAAGATCCCTACAACGTTTGCTATTCGATATAGGAAAAGGAAGTATTGACTACTCAGGCTCCCCATTCGAACCATCGCTATCCTCCCCGTCATCACTTACCGGTATTTTCTCCATGTCGCTTCCCTGCTCGTCCTCAAACCCAAGCTCAACAAGTGGCTGCTCTGCTGGTTCCCCATCTCCAAATTCACCTTCTCGGGCTTGGTTTGCTTGCTCAAGTAATGCTTGCTATACGCGCTTAGATTGGTCGACTCGCAAATAAATAGTATGTCTTACATATTCAGCAACGCCTCCAGTTGGCGCTTTACGGTATGCCAGCGTAGGCTGTCGGCCACTTTCGATATGTTGAATTATCTTATCTCGAAGACCAAGGTAAAAACGCTTGAAAGGTCGCAACTTGTCCGGCTCCTGGTGAGTTCCAAGGACTACGTGATCGTAGCCCATTTCAAGGAGAACTTGGCGGCACCAGTTCTTTGTCTCCGGCTCCAAACTCGTGCTAATGTCAATATCAGCCAACGGCCGCTCCATTTCGTCTAGAATGGAGCGGTCAATCGGGATACCCCAATTGCATGCCTTGTCTGGGTCGGGGTAATGGTAGTTCATCCAGGGCTGGCCGTGGACCACATGGGGACGGTTCTTTTGGAGGCGTATCCGATGAAGATTCCACGCCTCCACGAAGTCGAAGAGTTCTCGGCGTAGTAAGTCTTCGAAGACGGCGTAGATGGAAATCTGATCTTCCAGCATATCGCCGTCGAAGTCCCCGTCCCTGGCGAGTTCTCCAAAGTAGTCTACCCACTGCCGGGACGAGACATGCAGCATGCGCTCCCACCAACTCTCGATCTTAACGTTCTTCGTACTTGGAGCCGCCTTGTACGAATCCTTTAGTCGATTTCCTTGTTGGAAAACTTGCCCATGCCATTCCACTCGCCCGTCTGTTGCCAAGACAAAGTTCCAGTGTGCTGCTGCGACCAATGGCGTTTCGCTCCCCCTGTCTGCTTGCAAATACCATGGCCGAAAGCCGTAGGCGCCACACGCGGCCAAGTACTGCTTCAATACGCTCAAAGCAGTTGTAGCGGAGTGGCCAATATAAAACCAGATAATGTTGCGCGAGTATGCATCGATTGCTGCATATATCTCGAATCCATACGCCTTGAGCTTGTCGTGACCGTCAATGCACCACTGGTAGTTTGGTCCTGGGACAAGAAACTGTCCCTTCTTCCGAAACATCCTTTTCGGAGTTCGACCTCATTTGGGAACATGATTTTGTACATCGCAAAGAGGGGTCTCGGGACCCAGAGCTGCTTTTGCTGACGAAGATAAGGCTGGAGAAGGCTTTGCCATATCCCGAAATGGCATTGGACCGTCGCGTCATCTCGATGATAACCTGTTCTGTCTTTTCCAGCAACACAAGGCGCTCCTCGTCACTATTGAGCCTGCGTACCCAGCGGCGGTCCGGGTGAAGTCTGATGCGCTTTAGACCTCGTTTCGTGATCGGCCAGCCTTGTCTTTGTAGCACGCTCAGCGTCTGCTTCTCGGTAAGCCCAACGCGAAAGATCAGGTCACGGATGGTTTCTATCAGCTCTGGAGTTTCTTTGGTACGGGCTTGCTGGCGCGGGAGACCCCAGTTTGCGATTCGGCGAGAGAGTGTACTGAGATTGACGGCGACATGGTAATGCTTCCGAAGCTTATACTTAATCTTGCTTCGCGACACCGTTGAGGTATAGATGAGTGATATAGGTACGGTATTGATCGATTGGATTGGGCGGACGTGCCATTGTTGCCGGTAACGTCGAAGGGATGGTGATTTTCTTAGTCCTCATGCCAGGAAAAAGGGGGACAGCGATATAAATTGACTTACCGCGTTTTCCCGCAGCGGTGGTGCCGCTGGCCCGCAGCGGCTTAGTGCCAGGGGCTGTTCGTGGAACGGTTACCAAACCAGGCACAGATCGACGCTGCTCACCCGCAAATATTTACAGAACCCAGATCCTCCAACCCTAGTTCCTACCTTTCCTTCTGTATCATCATTGCCGTGGAAAGCCAATGGTCAGCAGCGTTGTCATGTCTACAGCAGATTCCGCTATCGTAAGTGAAACTGCAGTCGCTGGCCCGATGGATGGGGACTCGCCTAGCAGGAATAAAATAGTCAAGGGTAGAGGATTGGTCCGACCCAACGCCCGCAAATCCACGGCCAAGATTACCGTACAATCCAATAAGTTCTTCTATGAAGAAGAGGCGGCTGCTAACTTGCTCGCCCGAGCAGAAGAAGAAGCAGACAAAAAAGGCCCCTCCCGTCGGCTCGGTGCGAGACTTCCCATGCCGTCCTTGCGTCACACGCGCCACCAAGACTCCCGGCCATGAATGTGCCTCCCAGGACAGTACGTTGATTGTCCCCTGTAGTATACGTCTGCCTCACTAATTTGCCGGGATAGATACCGGTGCTGCGTGCTGGGACTGCGCAAAGAACGCTCACACGTGCAGGCCAGTATGAGACCTTTGTTTGCTCCAAAGAAGCGAGAAATTAATCGAGTTGAATGTTCTAGGTCCCTGCTGGGGCTGTTGCTGCCGTGCGTGCCTTTGGGACGTGAATCGGCATCTCAAGCTTGCAGATGCCGAACCCGATGACACCTGGCGCATCGCTGCGCAGCGAGCAGCACAACAGCTACGTGCTTGCGGTGGTAGTGCGGCTCTTTCTACCGCTTCAGGACCAGCTCCGCTTTGGCCCCGAAGAGCGGAAGCTTATGGCGTTAGAAACCATCGCTGAGGCTGCTCGGCTCTGGATTGTGAGCGAACTGAAGTTGTGAGTTGCATTTCGGCTGCTAACTGAATATAGCAGCTAACAAGCCGGAGGATGAGGACGAGGAGAATGTATAGATAGAATAAGGGAACACATTAAAGCGTTGGAATTACCGTGCGGTATTTTCGCCATAGGCGACTGATATGTTTGTGACGAGAGACGCGCTGCTGGTCCGCAGCGGCCCCGTAGCTGTGACTACACCTGCCGTAACGCCAAATTTTCCAACGAAGTTGGGCCGAGATACATAGACCAATGTACCGTGGGGCGGGCCGTTCATGCCGCTAACCCATTTTGACTCTCGCGCGGTGACTTTTTGGGTTTTGCAACAGTGACCCCTATAGCCTGCCGTATCCCAGAGTCAAGGGCAAGGTGCTGAAACCACTGTCGCACAAGTCGCCGCAACTGAGTCCCAGAGTCAAGGGCAAGGTGCTGAAACCAGGAGGTTCCACCATCGCGGGGCGTGTTGGCACTATCACGTGGGCCGATAATGTCGCGGAGACCTTTGCGCAGGACGACGCCTCTACCATGGACCGGGTTGCAGCCGTGACAAGCCTCATACCCTTCGTGGGCTGCGGTACGCAGCTAGGGGCGTATGCAGGAGATGGCGAGATCACCGTATTGGAAGGAATCGACACGGCCTTGTGCGGTCTTGGCGATGCCTTGCTGCTGGGCGTTGCTACGGCTCCTTTCGGGGCGGTGGTTCGTTTGTCTCGGACCATCATTAGCGCGATTGCTGCCTGGGGGCATTCGTCGAGTCCCTTGCCGCAGAAGCCGAGTCCCTTGCCACAAAATCCGAGTCCCTTGCCGCAGGAGCCGACGAGTTACTTGCCGCATATGCCGAGTCGGAGCGACATACAAAGCCTGCGAGACGGACTTTGGCGGTACTTTATTAATCGTGAAGTCTTAAATTTTATCTCTTCCGAGGCCTTCAAGAACAAGCTGGAGAGTGCTCTCACCATAGTGTCCTTGCGCAACTTATCCCGAGGTGCGCAGGCCATCGGCCTGATTTTGGCCGGCCAAGAAGTATCCGAGGAATTTCTGATGACCGACCCGATGTATGATGAGGCCGACCAGTTCACCGACCCGTGGAATGCGACCAGGCAGGAAGCCGTGCCCCCCGACAATCAGGAGTTAGCCCAGACTCCAGCTGAAACCGCCAAGGCTATTTCTAAGATTATTTCAATTCTGAGCACCAGGAATCTGGACGAGCAGCGCTGGACCCTGTTGCAACTCGTGAAAGAAGGGATGCCCGACGTTATTATTCGCTTGCGAGACGACTTTAACGATAAATTCATCGAATCTCTAACGTCTAACGACATGATCGCACAGTATACACAGGCGCATGCACACTTTGGCGACATTGGTAGACGCGAATCAAACTGGGTAATTGGGAATATCACCCAATACTTCACCTCGGAGGGGAAATACCTAAAGGAAGCCCCGCTTCCACTTCCCAGCGACTTAGCTCTGGCCTATTGGATCGGGTTTACCACAAATTCCTCGCACAAACCAATCATTGACCCAAGGATAACCGACCCGGAGAGATACTACGCCGATACCGTCGGAAAGGTTGATAAAGATATACTCCAGGACCACACACAAGATGTTATGCAACTTCTCCGGGGGGAACTTACGCACGCGCAGCTTCCTAGTGATGGTCCGAAAGAACTATGGGATAAACACCTTCAACTTCTTATTGCTATGCATATTGGAGGTCGAACTACTCCTGGTAAAAAACACTATTTATGGAGCTCTGGGATTATTAATGCGTTCCCTGACCCAGCCACAGGGCCGGATCCAGGGACCCGAGAAGCTCTACGCATTGAAAGGGCTCTTCGACAGGGCGGGACCTAGCCACAGGGCCGGATCCAGGGACCCGAGAAGCACAAAATACAGGTCACGTTTGGAGTCGAGTCCAGTGGTTTTCGATCCAGTCAATTCTAATCAATCGATATTAACGGATTGATTGAATTAACCAGGAAGATTGTTGTTGGAGGACTCCAGTGGGATCTGGAAGGTTCCATGGATATGGCGACTCCGTCGCCTAAGTCTATATAGACTCGGATCATCATCACATCTGTAGCTAGATAGACAAGCATCAATAGATTGCTCACTCATCCTTTCCAATCCGCAGGTGCGGACAACAAGTGATGCTCTACTTGTTTGTCTCCTAGATCGTTCCCAGCCTCACTTAACAGCACGTGAGAGAGGGCCAGACAGGGCCCCTGGCTCCAGGGTCCGACAACGACGGCATTGATCAGTCGCGTGACCCTGGAAACGGGCGTCACGATGTCATTGCCCGCATCGGTCCCTGTCTATATTGCTTTTTGATCCTATTCGGCTCAGCCCTACGAAAGTCAGCTGGACCTCTTACCTCACGAGACGTGATCCCAGACCAAACGCCGCGGTTGGTATGCCATCTGTCAAGCCGGGTACCCCACGACCTTCCGATCTCGAAGCGTCTCCGGGCACGCTTTGCGAGGTTGCTAGCTCCGTAAAGCTCTTACTCCACCGACCAAGTTACAGCTATGCATTGACCCCCCCGTGCCTCCGTTGCTCCTTCCTGGCCATTCGTTCGATGATAAAAACGGTGTATTTCTTCCGTTTAACCCCGATCGGTTAAGCATAGTATCCTTTTATTTGGTTATTCTTTTCTTTACTCCGTCCCTCTAGCGGGGGGTATCAAGATTTCGCTTAAAGAGGTTCGCTCGATGGAAGATCAGGAACGCCAACCCGCGCGATACCGTGCCAGAAGGGGGCCTAGAGATGAGCCAGTTAGAGTGCTTTTCGACGAGGCAACTCTATAGGCACTCCGCGAGCCCTAGCAGGAGCCCGCTCGAATTTCGCTCGACGAAATTCGCCGTACGTTGCATGGCCTAGATCGCCAGCGAGCCGAAGAAAGAGCCCGCCGGGGACAAGGAGTTCCCCAGCAGGAAGCCACGGCGCTGCAGCCCCGAAATGGGAAAGCTATAGTACCCCTTGAGGAAATCGTCGGTATACTAACGATCTACGACTCACTTAGTAGGAAAGAAGCGAGAGTACTTGCGCAACTTCGCACAGGCAAATCGAGACTCAATAGTTACCTTCATGGAATACAGGCGGCAGAAAGCGACCTATGTGGCTATGGTCAAGCAATCGAGACAGTGGAGCACTTCCTCTTTCGATGTAAGGCATGGATCTCTGAAAGAGAAAGCATGATGAAATGCAATCGAACTAAGATAGGAAATCTGTCTTTCTTCCTAGGAGGGAAGTCGATGTCCGATGGCGACAAATGGAAGCCGAACCTACCAGCAGTACGCGCTACGATCAAATTCGCGATGGCAACCGGGAGACTAGACACGGACCAACGATAACAGTACTAGCAAACCAGAGTGCACAGTACTAGCACCATACAGCCTCTCATTGACAGACCGGGCTTCAGCTGCTGAGAATAGGATGCTGAACACTTGGAGAAATGGGCCTTCAAGCAGGCCTGTCAACGGCGAAATTGGAGGCTGAAATGTACGGATAGGAGCAAAATGTGGGGCTTCTAGGTGTTGCAGTCGAAAGTGGAGGATCTGTAAATAGCTTAGTGTCGCGGCCCTCTAGGGTTGGTCCCTCCGGGCGGAATAAATTGCATTGCATTGCATTGCACTTATGGCAAGACAAACCGAGCACAATGACGGCGACGGGAGACCAATTGGTTCCACGCGAAGAACGGGTCCTGCTCGCCGTCAGGGCCTATCAGCAGGGCCAATTCGAAAGTACCCGCAAGGCAGCGGCCGCATACGACGTCCTCAATCGACAGTATCTGATCGACTGCGCGGTGTCATTCGCCGACGCGACGCTCAGGTGAACAACCTAAAGTTGACGGCGACGGAAGAGACTGCCCTAGTACAATGGATCTTGTCGATGGACGAGCGAGGAATGCCGCCGACAGTGGCTTACACTCGTCGGATGGCCAACTTATTGCTTTCCGAGCGAGGCAAAGATCCTGTCGGGGAGAACTGGGTGCGGAAGTTTGTTGGCCGCCACGGCGAAATCAAGGCAAAGTACTCTCGCCGATACGATTATCAACGCGCCAAATGCGAAGACCCCCAAAAGATCCAAGGATAGTACGATCGAGTCGCGGCGACGAAACAGAAATGGGGGATTCTTGACGAGGATGTCTATAACTTTTAATGAGACGGGGTTTCAAACAGTGTGTCCATTAACCAAGTTACCTGACTTGGTTGCTTGAGATTGGTTGATTATGTAACAAGTAACCACGAGTAACATCCACTCCGACCAACCAAAAGTAAGCCTTTCTGCCTTACTCGGGTTAACTCGAAGTTGCTCGACTAAATTACCGTATTAGGCAAAGAGAGCCCATTTTGGTTGGCCAGAAAGGCCATGTACTCGGGGGGTTGACTAGCAGGGGTCCGCAAGGCCCCCCCCTCTCCTACGGAGAGGGGGTCACAAAACTTGTTTCTTTGACGGTCGTGTTTCCCTCTATCGCAACTTCAATCTACCGCCACGCCGTCAATTGGGCTTCTTAGGGATTGAAACAAAGATACAGTGTCTATTAGGTACTATAGAATTTAGGTGTCAAGTCTCGTGAGAATTGGTTCAGTCGTTGGTGTTACTAGTAAATTACAAATCTAATGCTCTAGGCCTGACGCACGCGCGTCTTTGGTACAGCAATTCGTCTACCATATATAACAACCTCCGGCTCATCCTCTTCTTCATTATCCTCGTCGCTGTATACACCCACGATAACGCGTTCCTCCTTGAGCTCGGCCTGGATCGCCGCCTCGTCTTCTTCGTTCAATTGCACCGGCTGCCGTGGCGGAAGCTGCTCGAGTGGAAGCTGCGATAGTGGTGGTCTCGCAATACGCGGGCGTTGGCGCTGTGTTGTTATGATCTGAATGTCATCCTCATCATCGTCGCTATTAGGCGCGAGATCCGGCTCTGAAGAAAGCAGCATAGATATATAGTCATGATCGATATCAGAGTCTTCGTCGGCCACGTTGGCAGCAGCTTGTGCCCGCGCCTCCTCCTGAGCTTGTGACCAGGCCACGATATCAGGAAGAGCTGTGAGATCGCCTTTAGGTGTGTTGCCCATAGGAAATACCGGTAGCCCTCCGTAGCCGTAGTCCAGCGCTCTTGAAGAGCCTCGCGAGCGACAGCTTCTTCCGGGGTCACGAGTTGTTGAATGTATGTCCTGTACTTGGCCTCTTCTACTGCTTTCGCCGCCACGGCGGCTCCACCGCGTAGACGAGGCTGTGACGCTGTTTGTGCGGCATCCATAGCACGGAGATGTCGAAATTGAGTCTCGCTATCCTTAAGAGCACGCTTGGCACTAGCCTCTTGGTCTTCTTGCTGCCGGGCGGCCGCTTTCTCGTAGTTGCTGTATCGTAAAGGCGCCATCGTCAACGCCTCGGATTCGGCGTAGGGTCTTGGTTCTGCGCCTCTCTCGCTGGATACGGTCTTGCTGATGCTGTATAAACTGTGTATGAGCCGATTGTGTTAAAATCGCAAGATCAAGACAGGCTGACGCGTTATTAACGATCTCTCTCGTCGGGCTGCTTAGGATACCGAGTTTTTTCCGACTGGCTTCAAGATCACTCTTTACCTTACGTGGTGTCACCAAATTCCTCGCTAAAAGCTGTGGGAAAATAGGCTCCTGTCGGTCTTTAGAGGCAGCTCGTAATGGACCTAGCACCACTTCAGGATCAGGAGGCCATAGCCCGGACTGTTCAAAGCCCACAAAGATATAACAAGCCTTAAACGCGGCGCTGAATAGCTCATTCCATTGGCAGAGAAAGTCGAATCTCGAGATGCGTGTGCCGCCACCGATAACGAACTTCTTTAAGGCTCCTTGTTGTGCACGTTTGAGATGTTGATAGACGCCAACGTCAAGAGGTTGTAGGAGGTGGCTTGTATGCGATGGTAGCTTGAACGGTACGATCTCGAACATCTCGCAATACCAGATAAATTCAGGGTCCTCGTGTGCAGCAAATCCATCCATAACGAGCAGCCGGAAGACCGTCTTCGTCTTCTGAGTGTAGAATGTACGCCGTTCCCCATTGCTCTTATCCCAGCCTTCCCGTGTGATTGTAGCCGGGTAGCCGAACCAGTTCTCGATAGTATGGCCTTTAAAGGAGCTACTCTAGCAAAGGAGTAGCGGTTGAAGTGCTGAAGCCACTGGAACGCCCGCTGGCTATTGTTATATCCTGTTGTTGTATATGTAACGACAACGTCGTCGCTAATTGTAGCCATCGTGTATTCTTCAAGGAGGACTTTGCACTAAGGATAAGGAAAGAAGGAATGGCTTTCCCGGCGGCACTGATGGCATCCACTGATGTTAACGACTCCTTATTCCCAGGCTGGAAGAAGACGGGCCTTCTGCTCCTCTTCATCCGTAATGACACTAGCTTTAGGGAGCCCTTCATCCACCCAAGCTGAAGAGGGGTTTCGTCGAAATTCCATAGATTTTCTGGCGTTATTCTGAGCTCCTTGATAACGGCCTGATATTCGTGGAACCAAGCCTCAAGCTCGTCAACCTCAAGCTCGGCGCCGGCGCGAGTGATCTCCTGGATCCTAGCCCTCCTGATGGCAAGCTCTGGATGCCGCCGTTTAAAGCGAGTAAGCCACGATCTCGACACCTGAGAAGTTAAGCCCTGACGGCGATGATGGCGGATAAAGTTGGCCTTATTGATGAGGCATGCCTCCGTGAGTGCGAAAGTGCCGCCTTCGACGAGTCTTGCGTATGAGAGTAGACTCTTCTCTTCAGCATCGGTAAGAGCAGTAGGGCGCCTCCTTTCCCCGCTTGGAAGAGCCAGATTGGCGCGAAGAAGCCAGATATACTTCTTTACGAGGCCTTCATTGGTCTTGTGTATCACTGCGAGCTCGTTGATTGTCAAGACGCGCGGAGGCGCGGATTTGCGCGTGTTGTACGCGTTAGCGAGTCGCCGTCAAGATATTCTCGCGCCGCATTCGCCGCACGCAAGCTCTGATCAGGCTGAAAATTTGGCATCATGGAAATGAAGTATGGTTAACGATATTGCGAAAGTTTTGAGACTTGATAGCATCAATTGACGGCGTGGCGGTAGATTGAAGTTGCGATAGAGGGAAACACGACCGTCAAAGAAACAAGTTTTGTGACCCCCTCTCCGTAGGAGAGGGGGGGGCCTTGCGGACCCCTGCTAGTCAACCCCCCGAGTACCCTGATTACCTATTTTCCCAGCCCCAAAATCTCGCGAACTCGATACAGGTGAGGCATGTTACGGCCAGGCACATACGAGCCTTGACGGCTATAAAGATGTATTGGCACTATGAACGAAGGACTCAAAGCTAAGGAGGAAAGAAAGACTAGACTACACGATCGAGCTGGCCCTTATGTGCATATGCACGAGGTCGCACGTGGACACGTGATGCTGCCTGTGCACGTGCGACCGGTGAGGCTCTGCGCTGGCGGCTCTATTGTCGGGCGGTGCGCGCGTAACAAGGCAGGCCGACTGCGGCTTGCGTCAAAATCCCCCAAGGAATGAAGTTGGAAATGCAACGAGAGATATGCGGGCGGCGTGAAGGTTTTGATCATGGAAAGTTAACGCGGCAGTTTTTTTTGTGATGATTCGGTGGTAGGCGAAGTAGTCTAGGGTATCCGGTTCTGCATCGCGTCGTTTATGCTGTGCAACCCGTCGATAAAAAGCAATGTCAGACTAAAGTGGAGCAGAAGATCCCTATGAGTCGGGTAGCGAGAGACTCTTGGTTTCCGAACGGAATTTATCGCTCTTACATCAGTAGAGGGTGCAAATGCTGTTGCTGCCTGCAGGCAGCAGCTCCGTTTAGTCGTGAATGAGCTTGATCCTGACAGAAGGTCTCCACAGACCAACGAAATCGACTCAATTCAAGATGATGGAGCAGCGATTGAACATCACAAGCACCTATTTAGAAGCTATGTGTGACCTTACGGTAAGGGGAAGGAAAATACTTCGAACACCCGTTAAGTTGCCAATGCGAGGGACTTAACGGCTGAATATCCAGCCCGAAGGGTGGATATCGTATACCTGCATTCGACTTTCTTAAGGGGGACCCCCTAGAACCCCCCTTCCACCTGCAGTGGCCAGCCAGCTGTATAAACCACTTCCTGGTAGGCCCAGTCTAACTATATACCCTATATCGTACCTTCCTCTTCCCTGTAGCTTGTAGAAGACGACGTTTAGTCACAGTAGAATGGTGGATACGGTGGATCGCTCAGCTGTTGACCCTGACGCCGTTGTTGGTCAGCGAGGCGCATCTTCATCCCTGTCTCATAGTTAGCCGTGAATGCAGTACGTAGGAAACGCAGGCGTATAACCTTCCGTCGGCGTGTGGTTATAGAGGCTCTAGCGATCGAAAGGCGCCTCAAGGAGTAAGCCTTAGAGCGAGGTAACCCGTGAGACGGCAACATAGCTAATACCGGCCTGGAAGTCGCGTGTAGCGAGATCAGTAACTATTTTATCCTTTGTTAGGCTCTGGCATTTATGAACAGTAATAGCAAACGCTACGATTAGGGGAAACTGCGTGCGAGCGCAGGTCTCGTTACCTATAAGGAAGTCTCGCCTAAGTGGGAGGATGGGTGAGATTTTCCTGCCCTCGCTAGTTGTTAGATATGGCGGTCCGTCGTAGCTATCAAAGTCCACCATAATAACGGCTGGGGTGTCTTCTAATAGATTGGCGCCGGCGCTCTAGGCGATATCGTATATAGTACCCTGAGCACCGTTAACTAGGCTAGCTAGTTGCCATAGATTAGTAGTGAGCATCACCCTGGTGCCCTTAGCAATAGGGAACTTATTAGATAGATTGCCAGCATTTTCGCTTAATGCCTGCCACGCGCCCTTGCCCTGATTCTTTTCCCCCACCTGTATTGCCGGGGCTTTAAGGTGCACTATATGCTCTTGGTTGTATTGGTTAACTCGGGCCTTTGTAGAATACACTCGCAAAGCGGTCCTAAAGCTGTCAACCTCGCCCTGCGTTAACCTGGCCTATACCCGATTGCTAAGGAGGTTCTAGGACGGTATAGATAACTTGACTTCACGTAGTTCCTGCAGCGCCTGACGGAACTGGGCTAATCATCACCAGCCTGGCGCTGTACCGTGGTAAGGAAGACGGTGCGGTTAAATAAACGGTAGGCCACCTGCCCTCTCCTTTCCGACGAAGACAGGCAGGTGCTAGTCGAATACAGGGGCTTCTGTCGGACTGGTGGTAATTGGAAGAAATCGCCCACTAGCAGGACGCTCACACCACCAAAGAACTCGAGGTTACGCTGTGGAAAGGCCTGCCGCAGACGGGAATCGATCCGCGCGAGCTGCTCAAGCCCTAGCATGCTCTTTTCATCGACAACGAGGTATTTAATGTGCCGTAGGCGGGACTGAAGGGCGGCTGCGTCGGCTGGGGGAAGGTCGGTAAAAGTGCCTCCTACTGGGAGGCGTAGCAAAGAATGAATGGTGCTGCCCTGTATCTGGTTACTCGCAACGCCTGTTGGCGCCACGCGGCAAATAGGGCTAAGATTCGGTAGGGCGCTTGCTTGAAGATGGGATGAAAGCACCTTAATAAGGAATGACTTGCCTATACCACCACCGCCATCAACGTGGAGAAGGATTTGAGTAGGATTTTGCGCTTAGAAGTGACCCATAAATATGTCGTACACGAGCCGTTGTTGCGGATTTAGCGTATTACGCTAGTAAGGGCCAAGGACCTCCATATCGTTGGCCATAGGGTGGCTAGCGATAAGGTCTTTCTAGTAGCTATCTCGAAGTTCCGGATATATACCCACATGCCGTGTCCAGTCGTAATTGACGTCGATGTCGCGGCGGCCAAGAACGTTAAGATCTTCCTAGGTAGGGGGGTTCCTAGGTAAAAGGGCGGCGAGGCGAATCCAGTCTTCGTCATCAAATTCTTCCTCCATAGGCAGAGCCTCGTATTGATCATCTTGGGGCTATAATGGAGCGTCTTTTGGCTGACCGTAATGGTCATCACTATAACTGTGGTGCAGCCAACAATAGGAGAATGCCTCAGCGTGAGAACCAAAAAGCTGGCCGTTAACTGTAAGGAGATCATTAACCCGCCGATGTGGGTGGTTTAATGTTAGCTTTACACGATAGTAATCTGGCCACTATTGACCTTCTGGATTAGCCTAATAGCGAGGAAAGTAAACCAGCACACGAGGCCTGCCGTTTATGTTGCCTGGCTGCCATGGCTTCTACTTGGAAGGGTGCCTAGGGCGGAAATTCCAGCATTTTAGGAAGGAGACATAACTTAGGTCCGCCAGGGCTTCCGGGCGTTAGGTGTACTTTTCGTAAATGTTTAGGGCCTCGTCAACCTCATCGCCGTCAATACGGAGGGAGCGGGAATGTCTGTCAGGGTTACGATAGTCGACGTATAGGCAGGTTCGTGACCCTTCCTATAACGGCAGGCCGAGGAGCAAGTGGCTGACCTCCTGCTTCGAGTAATCCCGCTTAGCAACTAGCTAATTTAGGAGCTTTGACGTGAAGGAAATTAGGGGGTTGTGGTCCTTGACCCGGGGCATCAGCGCCCTCCCGATTTAGGCAAAAGACTCGCTCTTCTTTTCCGACTTAGAGCAGTATTTGGCCGCGTAATCGATTACTTACTGTAGACTCGTGTAGGGCGAAACATCTATGTTGGCTAGCCACGTAACGGTAAGCAAGCGGTTATAGTGGTTAATCTAGCCATCGTTCCGCTCGCCCCTAAAGCTCTAGTGCTTAGAGTGAGGAACCCTATTAAGGGAGGCTAGTAGGCGCTGGCCGTGAGGAAATCTAAAGCGGCACTCTACCTGCTTGGTATGCTTATTGAGCTGCATGCAGTAGTTGTTGCAGCGGTGGCGTTGCACGCGGTTCAGTACCATCGATAGGAGCTGAACGGTAAGGGGATGCTCTAATAGACTACCGATCAGGGGATTCCCTTCTCTAGGAGCCTATACTCGCTGTGGCTCTGGGTTAACGGCAGATACGTGATATCCCTAGATGCGGGCGAATTGCTTACGGGACTGATCGTTGTCGGGATCTAAGTCTAGGTGGCCACTTAGCCAATATAGGCCGTGGTGGTGACTGGAGCCCCTGCCCTGCCACTCGTAGCGGCCCCAAGAGTCCGTTAGGTTGAACTTCTGCTTCAGGACAATAGTTCTAAATAGCGTATGACGCTTATGGAAGTGGTAAGCAGCGATGTGGGCGTTGTCCCGCAGTAGTTGCCGGGATAGAGCCATCCGCGCCACCTTAGGAGCTGTTTGCCACTCGTTAAATCTAGGCATATAACGGTATAAGGATTCCTAGTAGTAATCGGCTGCACTTGCAGTAGCGAAAAGGCCAGGTTTGCCTAGATTATAGGCATATGCTTCCAATTCCTTCCTCTGCTTATACTAATACGGCCGGGTGCCCCTAATTACCGCGGCTTGGCGCGTGATTGACTGGATTAGAGCCTGAGCCTCCGGCTCGTTAGGCTTAGCCATCGCTTCCTTAAGGTCGGCGCGGGTAAGGGGTTGGCGGCGGCTATCGCGTTGCTTGACGAAGTAGTTACTTCGCTTTCGGACCTACGCACGTAATATCGTGTTAAGGGCGACGAAAGGCCACGTCTTATGGCGGGCAAAACGTCCGTTATGCTATCTTATCGCATGGCTAAGGTAATCCTAGTATGTGATGCTCCGTAAACGAGGCTCCACGAAGTCGGCCTTGCCGTCGGGGTAGAGGGTAGGGAACGCGAGCGATAATAGCGGCTAGGAACGGTTGAATTCGTCGATAGGGGTCCTGCGAATGGAAGGCAGTGGCATCTAGTGGTGAGTCTGCGTGCTACGCGGCATATACTCTAGATCAGTCATGCGCTCAGGGTTAGGGGTCCCATTAAGAAATCGGGACTGCAGAGCGTTTAATTCGGTATCAGTGATCTGCAAATTCGGGATCGCTGATGCATCGGCATCGCTAGGGTCCTCTTCCACAACCTCCTCAACGGGGCCTTGGGGAACCTCGCCGTCAGGTATGTCAGCCACTTGGCTGGCAATGGAAGCAACTATGCTGCCATCAAGAGGAATCCGTTGTAGGCGATTCTGGCTTACAACGGTATCGCGATAGCCCGGGTAGTGACGCTGTAGGTAATGCAGCCAGGCCGATAGGCATGAGCGACGTACCCGGAAATCGCGAGCAAACTGTTGCTAGAAGCGAGGGTCGCCCTCTATATTAGGAGGCCGTAGGAGGACGATATCTAGCTCTTTAGGTAGGGCTAGGAGCTCTTCAAAAAGCCTGCCAACGTTGCGAAGGAAGTGAACAACGTGGCCCCGATATTTGTACTGAGCGCCGCGCACCTGTAGGACTTTCACGTGTACGTGAACCCTAGCGATGAGCATCTCCTCGACCATCGTTAGATTAGGTAGATTGGTGGGGACTTCCCTAAAGTTAAGGTGATTCGCAGCGCTAAAGAAGTAGGGATTATTGGGGGCTTTCTTCCTGTCTCGACTAATGCAGCGACTGTAGATTTTTAAGCTATTTCGCTTCATATCGAACCATCGCTCCTAGCAGCGGATGCAACTATGCATCTTGTCGTCATTTAGGGCAGTATAAAACTCCCGCATAAGCTCTTGATCTTCCTCACTAAGGACGGGCAGATTAAGGTCCGCTATAAAAGGTGGATCAACTATCCGATTAAACTGTCGCTCTTGAGGCTGTGGCCGTGGCCGTGGGTTGAAAGTGCCTTGACGGGTATAACGGCCGCGACGATGATCCTGTGACAGTAAGGAAGAAGTGGCGGGAAGAGTGTTCTGCGGAATCGGCGTGCCCAGAACTACCCTTGGCAGGCTAAGGGTAGAAGGGACAGGAGAAGGTCCCTCTACAGCGCTTGGGATAGATGGCCTCAGCAGAGATCTAGGCAGCCCCTAGAGTGCGGAGGCCAGGCCACAGAATAAGGCAGGCGTGGCAATAGGTTGTAAGCCGTTCATAGACGCAGGCGTTGGCGCAATCCGCCTTGGAGGCGTCAGGTTAGCTAGCGAATCAGTTCTCTTCGTGGCTTTGCGTGGTGGTAGCCTTAAGGCGATATTTCGCATCGCAGCAACGGCGGCTCTGGACTTGGTTACCCGTTCCTTTCGGTGTGCCCTATAGCTAGCACACTGTCCTATAAACTTAGTGGTGTCCTTTACGCTTCGAAATTCGACTTCGGGTAGGTCTTGCTTATAGGCACGGCAGTTGCGGACTGCCTAGGGTATATCGTGCTCCATGTAACCGTGTATATATCCACCTCTTAACACCTAGACCGCTAGGTATAGCTCGGAAAGTGAGGCTTTGTAAGGGCCAATGTCTAATACCGTAATAGACCTCGATAGGGCGGTTGTCTAAAGTAGTTAGATCGGGTCTAAATAATTAGGAGGGAACTAAACTACTTCCCGGAAGCAGGGTAGCCGGGGAATATTGAGAGGTAGGCCAGCTGCGGCGGTGATATGTGAACCTAGATACCTATAGCAAACTGGTGGGTTTAATGGATTCGACGGGAAAGGGAAGCAGCGGCCATCTAGGCTGGTGTAAGGAATACGGGGCAAGTGGCTCATTTGGCCAGAATCGTGTTTAGAAGTTCGATAAATGAATTGCATCGAAAGCCCCTAGAGAGCTTGCTAGTTACCTGGTCAACGCTCAGGGGTCAACGCTTAGGGGTCATTGCCAAGGCCTTTATTTAGTGGCGTTCGCGGTCGACTAATTCCCGCACGAGTTAAGTATAGGGGAGACTAATTAGCTAATCAGAGGAGGTTTTATGCTCGATTCTTTCTAACTAAGTAGAACGCCTTTCGGGCTAAATCATAATATTTTATTAGAATATAAGCAGTTTAAGTTTAGGATTTTTAGTAAGGCTAGTATTGTTTACCTAAGCTAAAGGGGGGGGTAAGCTAAAGGTAGGGGTAGGATAGTAGGAGGCTAGATAGTAATTTCGCGTATAGGGTACGCACTAGCTATAGACCCCTATAGAAGCGTTTAACTACTAAAAAGTAGAATTCGGTTAATTCTCTATCGACTATAGGTAACGGCTTATAAGAATCTTTATAGTTAGCTAGAATCGGTATAAGTAAAAATAATAGGTTTTAGTAGAGATTTTTTTATTTACGCTACCGAAAGAGGGGTATTACTAAAAGAGGGGTAGGGGATAGTATCTACCTCGACCTACCTATATAGCGGACTATATACTTATCTATAGCTAAATAAGTGCCTAGCTAATAGATAGTAAGAGACGCCTACTATATCTATTCGGCCTACTTATTAACCTACGCATAGGGCGTAGGGACTAGGCGACGTAATAAGGGGGAGATAGAGGAGGGCGTCGGTGCCGGGTGTTACGGCCAGGCACATACGAGCCTTGACGGCTATAAAGATGTATTGGCACTATGAACAAAGACTCAAAGCTAAGGAGCAAGAAAGGAAGACTAGACTACACGACCGAGCGGGCCCTTATATAGACACGAGGTCGCGCGTGGGCACGTGATGCTGCTTGGGCACGTGACACTGGTGAGGTTCTGCGCTGGCGGCTCTACGCCGGCGCCCAGGGTCGTGACACTACCCCCCCGTCTAAGGCCTTGATATGCGTATCAAGGTAGTCAGTCGTGGCGGCGGGTTCTTGGTTTCACGGCTTTCTCTGCTGTGTCGTCATCGTCTCGTTCCTCGCAGCCCTCCTCCGCTGCAGCACATTCGATCCAGTATTGCAGGTTGACGGGTGGGCCTGCTGCGTCCGGATGTTCATCGTGGAAAATCTTCAATGCCATTGGTGCGTTACGGAAATTCCTAGCCGGGTACCAGGTCTCATCAGGGTCACATCCCTTCCATAAGACCTGGTATTCCAGTCGTCGACTCCTACCGGTTACTCGAGACTGCTGGACTTGATCAACCTCCCACTCGGGTTCTCCGTTGATCTCCTCGGGTGGCGGAGGTGACTGGATCTGCTGGGGCAAGGGTTATCGGCTGCTTTTCGAAGACGGTCGGCGTGGAATAGGTTCTTCATTTTGTACGACTCGGGCAGCTGCAGTACGTAGCTATGACCGCGTTCTTCCAGGATTACGAACGGACCTGACCATTGGTTATCTAGCCGAGTAGTCGGAGCGTTCGTGGCGAAGCCTTTCCTGCTGAGAAAAACTCGGTCACCGATGGCAAAGTCGGTTGGTCGTCGTTTCCTATTAGCCTGTTCCTTCTGACGTTCTTGAGCGGCGGTGGCAGCATTCCTGGCGTCTTCCTGGGTTTCCTGGGCGGTCTGCACAAGTTCCCTAGCTCTGGCGGCGGGTCCGGTGGCAGCGGTCTTGTCAGTCGGGGCAGTGACAGGGGTTCCGGATATCTCGGCCTAGGCTACTTTTAACGGTGCCATGTCGATGGAAGAGTGCCAAGACGAGTTATGGGCGAAGTCGAGGGCGGGCAGCAGGGAACTCCAGTTATCTTGATGCTTCGTCACGTAGAATCGTAGCTTTTGATCTAGGTATTGATTTGTAACTCTACACCCCTGGGTCTGAGGGTGTAGGGAGCTTCCATGACGATGCTTCGTTCCCGTGAGCCGGTTAATCTCTGCGAGGAAGGCAGAAATAAACTGTCCAGCGTTGTCAGAAATCCATACGAGGGCATACCGAAGAAACGATAGAGGTAGCGGAAGTAGCGGCTAGCTAAGACTTCTGCCGTATCGTTTTTCTTTCCTGGGAGCGTGGCGATAATCCGGCTTAGCTTGCAGACGAAGGTCCAAACATAGTCATATCCGTAACGGTCTTTCGGCATATCCTTCCCGTCACATTCGACGTGCTCCCAAACAGAGGTCGGTACGGGCAGTGGATGGAGCAGTCCAGGGTCTTGTCTCGAGGGTTTTGTTGCGGCGGCAGTCGTGGCAGTTCCGAATATAACGACGGATATCCTCCTTCATCCTTGGCCAGTAGAAGTCTCGTTGGAGCAGCTTGATCACCTTGTTCTGTCCGGCGTGAGCGAAGATCTGGGGTTCGTGGGCTTCGCGAATGAGCGCGGTCTGAAGAAACGTCTGCTTGTCTGAGGTCTGGGCTGGTACGACCAGGTGTGTTCCATGGGTACCGAGGTCTTGGAGGAGGTTCTCCTGGCGGATCAACGAAACGAGTTCGGCTCCCTCGGGACCGAGTTCGGGTCTAGTTCTGGGCGGTCTTGATCGGGCGTCTGCTGTATCCCTCGGTCTTCTGGGGTCTGTAGGGCACTCGTGGCCCTCAGAACTAATGGTCTAGTAGGCTTAGGTTCGGGACTAAAGTTCTGAGGGGGCAGGTTGCCGGCGGCCGTAGGGTCTAGAGAGTCGGTCGCGAAGCCTAGCCTTTCCGGAGGGATCAGGGTCACCGTGCGTTCCTCGGCTTCCCGACCTTTACGGTAGGGAGCTCCGCTGTCTTCCTGGAGAGGGCATCGGCGACTACGTTCAGTCGACCGGGGCGGTAGAGGAAACGGATGTCGAACTGGGCGAGAAAGTCGGACCATCTGATCTGTCGTACCGAGAGCAGGCGCTTCGTAGAGAAATGGACTAAGGCTTCGTGATCGGTGATCACATCGAACTTCTGGCCTAAGAGCTCTGGGTAGAAGTGCTCTAGACTCTGTACGACGGCGAGGAGCTCGATCTTGGATTGGGTAGGCTCGCTCGGCCGGGGTCATGGTCTTAGAGAAGAATCCAACGGGCTTCCAGGTCTGATCAGGCTGTTCCTGCCATAGAACACCAGCTGTGGCATTCCGGGAGGCATCGGTCTCCAGTCGGGTCGGCAGTTCTGGTCTAAAGAAGGCGAGGACCGGGGCTTCGATAGCCAGGCGCTTGAGTTGATCAAATGCTTCGCGTTGCTCCGGGCCCATCACAAAGGCAACATCCTTCTTAAGCAACCGGTTCAAGGGTTCTGCCACTCCGGAGGCGTGGTAGCAGAAAACACGGATGAAGTTGCATAGGCCAACGAATGATCGGATCGCGGTGCGGTCTCGGAGGTCTTCAAACTTCCAGTCTTGTATCGATCGAACTTTCCGAGGGTCGACACTAAGGCCCACACCGGCTTCAAGCAGAACGCCGAGGTAGTCAACCTTGGTCACGTTAAATCTAGACTTCTTGATGTCTCCTGGAGGTTGGCCTGATGGAGTCGCCAGATCACTTCTTGACAGTCTTTCCAGTGGTCTTCTTCTTTATCCGAGTAGATCAGGACGTCATCTGCGTAGGCGCTGGCGCACCGGTCGAGGAGATCGTGAAGCTGCGCGTTGATAAACTGCTGGAACCAGGCGGGACCTACCTTCAGACCGAACGGGAGGACTTTCCAGCGGAAAGTTCCGAAACGGGTGCGAAAGGCGGTCAAATACTCGGAGTCAGGGTCCATGCGGAGACGGTGGAAGGCCTGGATCACATCGATCTTCGTGAAGCGTTGAGCTTCACGGCAACCGAAAGCAGTACCTTCGAGGGACGGAGCGGGCGTGATGCGACTTTTAAGATGATCGTTCATCCAACGGTAGTCGATGCAGAAGCGGCGGGCGGTCGTGTTCGGTTTCGGAGCGAAGAGGACGGATGCGGCGTGCGGACTCGGATCGGGCTCGATGAAGTCTATCTCCGGAGGTGATCGACAGTCTCTTTCTCTAGAGGCAGATACTTAACGGGCGTGCGGTACGATGGGGTCCTGTCGGCGAAAGAGGCTTCTCAAGCTCTAGGACTACATCGTGACCGGGTCGGCTCGAAGGTAGGGTGTGGGCCTCTTTCTTCGAGAAGAATCCTCTAGATGGGTGAGCTGGGGCGGTAGACGACTACGGACACAAGCAACATGCTCAGGGTCTTCTCCTGAGGGAACGGAATGCTTTGTCCCTGGTAGGTCTTCTGATCCGGGAGACTTTAGCAACGGTTCGAGCACTAGGGACGGTCTGGTCAAGGCCGGAGCTTGGCTCGAGCTGGACTGGATCCCGGGCATCAACGGTTCGAGTTCGTTCCACTGTTCGAATCTCTCGTGAGACTCTACTTGGCAGACCAGGGCGTTAATCAGGGCTTGATCTTCGGAGGCTTGGACCGAGGCGACGGAGACGAAGTCGGTAGCAGGGGCGGTCGTGAGCTGAAAACGGACAGACTTCTTGGCAGACGGAGACTTGGACTGAAACGACGGAGACGGAGTCGGTAACGGGTCGGGACAGAGGCCGGAGGAGCTTGATCAGAGCGGCGCCAGTTCTTGTGGAGGATCCGGTAGCGTTTCTCCTCTTTCTCGAGCAGGCGGTTCCGCCTCTCAGCGTCGGCCTGGATCTTAGGGTCGATCCGACCCGAGAGCGGGGCTTGACGAGAGCTGGATCGTCGGGGAGAACTTGGCGAGGCAGGAAGATCATCTGGCCAGATGATCTGTCGGGCGGCGCAGTCAAGCAGGAGGCGCTTCTCCGCATCCAGAAAAGACCGATAAAGATATCATGGCCACACTCAGCTATATCAAATGTCTCGTTTGCGAACGAACGGCCATCGATGACGAAAGTGGCGACCAGCTGTTTCTGGATATAGCCGGCTGGCTTTCCACGGAAGTCTTGGAGGAATCCGACTCGGAGCTCCTTAATCTGGGCTCCGAGTCTTTGGGCGGCGGACTGGGCGAAGGTTGGGCTAACCAGCAAACGGGTTTCGGCTCCGGTATCACAGAGGGAGCGGGCAGGTAAGCTCACACCATCCACTTGGACTTGACTTGGCAGAGTGAATGACTTGCTAGACCTACTCGCTATCTGTGACACCTTAGGGACCATCAAGGAGTCTTGTGATGGTCCTATTCGTTTCCGAATCTTGATCAGAGTCGTTGGCAGGGACAGGGACGGAGGCGACACGGGAGACAGCATGGGTGCGGTCGGGACAGTCGCGAGAGAGGTGCCCTGTTTTTCCACAAATAAAGCAGGTGCCATTATCCCAATGGACCCTTTTCTCATCGTCGGTCAAGGCTCTGCCAGCATCACGCGAGGTGATAGGGTCGAGCCGGTCTTGTTCGGAGTCTTGGCGGTAGTCGGAGCAGTCTTAGTCGGCGCGCGGCGAGATCGGTCGGAAGAGCGGGAGTCCTGTGTCTGCCTCATACTCCTCTTCTGGCAGTGGACAGCGTCCTTAATGAACCCACAGAAAACCTCGTAGGTCACGGACTCGTCACGGGTCTTGGTCAAGAGGCTGTTATCTAGGTTGGCCGGGATGTGCTGCCACAGGTATGCTTCATCTGGTCCTCGGGCACACGACCGGTCGCAGTTAAGTAGTCAAATTCCGCAAGGAAGTCCACAATGTCGGTCTTCCCATTCACGGTAAACTGGAGGCGTTGCAGGCGGTCAAGAGCCTCGGAAAGCTCATTCGGATTGCCATAGGCGGACTCGAGGGTTTGATCATCTCTGCCACTCCAGAGAAGGGTCGAGTGTCAGAGGAGAAGCGGGTTTCAAGTGCTCGGCGGGCTTTTCCTCGAGCAGGTTATACAGACAGACCATCCGGCTGTTCTCAGTCCGGAAGGTTCGCACGTCTTCGTCAAATTTGTTCTTTATGCTCAGGATGAAGGAATGGAACTCGTCCTTCTTTCCTGAGAACGTCGCGGAGGCCTTGATGCGCGATTTGGCGGCGTCGCTGTACTCGGGTTCTTGCCCTCTGGGAAGGGGCAAAAACAGGCCAGGCAGCTTTGCCTGTTGGTCGGAAGGCCGGGCCATTTGGGCCGGCAAAAGCAGTCGAGGGCTCCCGGTGCTGTCGATTTGATTCAACAGACGGAGAGCGTTCATTTAGACGGGCCGTTAAGGCCGCAATCTGTTCCTCATCTCGCGGATGAGAGCGTCTTGGGGCTCGGGGCAGCCATGGCTACTATTTCGGATTCAGTGGCTTGGCCAGCAAGCCGGGTGGAACGGCGAGGCTGATCAGAGGGCAGGGCTTCCTCGGATATCATAGTCGCGAGGTGATAGGTGTCGGAAATGATACCACGCGGAATCACGGTCAGATGCCTGCACGAGCAGGGACGGTCGGAGGTCAGACGGGACGAATCCCTTGGTCGGAACGGTTGGTCGGACGGCTACACACACGCGTAGTCTTGGTCGGAACGGACGTGATCTCAGCCTTGAGGATCACTTGGTCGGTGGTCGGAGTCTTGGTCGGAACGGTCAGAACGGATGCGCTGGATTTACGTCAGGCGCGTGTGACGTGAAAGCTCGGTGCCTATTTGCTTAATCGCTGGCAAGCGATCTTATTGAGCTTTGAGTAGTGTTACGGCCAGGCACATACGAGCCTTGACGGCTATAAAGATGTATTGGCACTATGAACAAAGACTCAAAGCTAAGGAGCAAGAAAGGAAGACTAGACTACACGACCGAGCGGGCCCTTATATAGACACGAGGTCGCGCGTGGGCACGTGATGCTGCTTGGGCACGTGACACTGGTGAGGTTCTGCGCTGGCGGCTCTACGCCGGCGCCCAGGGTCGTGACACCGGGTCGGGTAAGAAGAAAAGGGTATAAGGCAGCAGCGACTAATAAGGGGGAACTCTTAGACGTAAAGGAAGGAAAAGTAGGAACGAAAAGGGCTAAGATAAAGGAGGCGAGTTTTAGATTAAATATAAATAATAGTAGGAAAACTAGCGGACGAAACGAAAAATATTAGTATTAGTATTAGTAAGGGGAGGTAGGAAGATAAGGCGGTAGCGACTAATAAGGAGGGAGGGACGAAAAGAGTTAGCGATTAATTATAAAAGATCTTATATCGAAAATTAGTAAAAAGTTAGCTAATAGGAAAAGGCTCGCCGGTTAGGGCTCGCGTAAAGAGCCTTAAGGAACGAATAAGAGGAAGGCTCGCTAGCCGCGGCTCGCGTAAAGAAGCCTTTCGGAATAAAAGTTAGCGATAAGAGGATAGGAGAAGATTTAGCGATAAGAGAGAGAGAGAGTTAGCGATAAGAGATAGAAGATAAGAAAAGTAAGAGGAAGATAGGAAGAAGAGTAAGGTCGAGATATAAGATACGGCGAGAGAAGTAAAGTATTATTATAAGTAAAACCGAGATAAAGCGTCGGGGAGGTAAGCTAGGCCGCTAAAAAGAGGTTTTATTTTATAAAGGCGTAAAGGGTATAGAGAGATAGTAGGGTTAAAGAGAGATATAAGTAGGTAATATATATCTAAGTAAGTAGAAGGCTTAGAAGATTTATAGGTACTATAAATTATAGATATAAATAAAATAAAGAGTATATTAAAGAAGTTTTAACTTAATTATCCTTATAAAAAGGGGAAGAAAAAGAGAAAGGAATATCCTATTTAAGCCTTTCGCACTTAAGTTTAAGGATAATAAAATATATTTCTTATTATATTATATTATTTCGTTTATTACTTTAAAGAATATTCTTAGGCGGACGTTAAGCATAAAGCGGTTAGGAAGAGATAAACGCGGGAGGTCTAATAGAGCTAGAGGCGGTTATACTTAGTTAATCGAATAGTTAGTATCTATCTCTAACTTTATAAGGTCTTCTAGGGATAGAAAGGAAAAAGTATCGGACTTAGCGGAGTCTTAATATTATAAGCGGTAATTATAGTAGAAGTTTTAAGAGAAAGTCGCGGTCTCTTAGTTAGGGTTTAATAGGGATTAGGCAATAACTAACTTAATATTAGTATTAGTATATCTATTAACTAAGTAAAGTAGAAAATAATACCCTTACTTAACTTAGTTAAAGGATCTATTTACTTAACTTAGTTTACTTAAAGAAATAGCTATACTTTACTTAGTTAGTTAATATTACTTAACTTTAAGAGCTAATTTACTTAAGTAATCTCTATATCTTATCCGCCTATAACCTTAGGACGAGGGGAAAAAAAGTACTCCTTAAGTATAACTACGATTATATACTAGATCGAAGTAAGTACTTTTAGCATTTAATAGCTACTACGATATTAGAGCTAAGGCGATTCTACTTATCCGTAATAACCTTTTTAGTCTAAGAGAAAACCCGCTTATATTTAGCACTTATTACTAGATAAGTAAATAAGTCGAAAGCTATTTACGATAGAACTAAGTAGTCTACTATATAATAGATCTACTATTATAAGGGATCTTTAACTTCTAAATTAGCCTTATTATTCCTAGCTATAAACTTATTAAGCTTAGAAGTTAGTCTCGCTCTTTTCCTTCTTCCTTTAGTAAACGCTATAAGCTTAGCTAGTATCTATTAGCGTTTATAAGCTTCTTAGAGTAGGTTAAGGGCGACGAGATTATTACTAGCCTTATTAGCGATAACTTCTCTTAGGGCTAGCGACGAAGCCTCCTTATAGTCTATAGCGTCCGCTTCTATATATACGTCTTTATATTCTACGAAAACTTCTTAAACTATACTCTTTGCCTTATTAATCTACTACTTATTATAACTCTACTTAAGTTCGAAGTAAGTAAACTTATTTACTAGATATAATATAATAGCGTATTAATAAGCTAGGGTAGTATCGGTAAGGCTAAAGTACTCTTCTAGCTTAATATAAGTAGTATCGATTATATAGGAATAATATATTAAAACTATATTAGGATAGTTATCGGTAAATCTTCTAGCCTCTTAGAGCTTTTTAAAGAGGATATTAAATAATTTAATTGTTTTATAAAGGGAGCTATATAATCCTTCTAGGCTAGCTTTATTAGCTCGGCCCTCTATACGTTTTATTAGATCTTTAAAAGGCTTTAAGATATTAAGAAAATAGTATAAGTTAATCTAATCTTATAGGGTTAGTATATCTTATAAAATATCGTACCCTACGCTACTATAGTAATAGTTAAGGAAGAATAGATTAATTATATAATAGAGCTTAACTGCCCTTTAAATTATTATATATATAGAGTTCTAGCGGATTCCGCCGTTAACTAAGACTTTAGTATAGAGTAGTTTAATACTGCCTTCCTCGTAAGCCTATAAAATATACCGTTTTAGCTACTCCCGCCTTTAGTTACTTTTATTTACCTAAATATAGAAATTATAAAGTTTACTAATAAAGCTATACTTTCTCTAGATTTTAAAACGCTCCTATTAATAGACTATTAATCTAGTACTTATAAGGTAGGGGCAGTATAAGAAAGGATAAAGATATATAATCTAGCTAGAAAGAAGCGGCTATAGGGCCCTATTTATACTATAGTTAGAGGGACCCTTAGGTAACTTATATAGGCACTAAACTAGCCCTATATATAAGGTCTTTATAGGTCCCCGATATATAGCCTTATAATAATCCTTTAGGTAGCCCTCCCTTAATCCTTTAGGTAACCTATTAATAGCGGTGCTTATACTAGCCGATAGTATTATATTACTAGTAACCTAATATATTGCTAGTAAAATAATATATCCTATATATCCTATATAACCCTTATTATTTAACTATCGTTACTAAAATATCGTTACCTTAAAAACCCTATATCCTAAACTATAACTTTAAGTACTTTAATACTTTAATTATATTACTCCTAAGTCGATTTCGATAATCTATAATAGTTATTTTTGCCCTAGAGAAGAGTCTTTTAGGCTTAGTAAATATTACGGGAATTAATAGTATATCTATAGCTATTTTACTTAGGTATAGGTAGTTCTTTTACTATATTTCCTCTAGCTACTATATAAGGGCGCTTATAAACCTATAAACCTATTTAGACTTATAATATCGCTCGTACTCGTCTATAATATATACTAGTTATAGGTGCTTATTTCTTTAATTTAAGAACTTATTTATAGTTATTAACGGAACCTTAGATAAAGAAGGCGGCTCTATAGGTTTATAATTATCTATTAGTAAGATAAAGATATATAAACTATATTAATAATACCTCTATTAAGGGTACCCTTATTTTACTAGTAGTTAAGTAGTATTTACTATATTTAATATTATCCTACTATATCTCTATTAGCTTCTTTAACGAGTTAGCCTACTCCTTTTAGTTTTTATATATATAGTGCTATTTATATAAAGGGTAAAGTATAATCGTAGCGATATAGGTAGGCGATTCGTTAGTAAGATAATAGTACTTATCTATCTTCGCCTAGCCTAAGTTATATATTAGTACTATAATTAGATCGTCGATATATACCTCTTTTCCTACTTTAAATTACGCTAATATAAAGTCTATAGCTAAGAGGATATTATTAAGAGTTATAAACGACGACTTAAGGGCCTTTATTATTATTTTAAGCTTCTTTAAGAAAGACTTAATCTTCTTAAGGATAACCTACTCCCTAGGAGAGAGCTCGTCTCTAGTATAATCTACTTCTACCTATTTATTAAAATATCCCTCGACTACGCCTTTAAGATATAAAGCCGCTTATAGTATAGTATACTACGAACTTTACCTTATATCGTTATCTCGCGTAAGCTTATAATTATAGCTAATAGCTAGAAACTTTTAGTAACGCTAAATACTATTTTAGACGAAAACTATAAAGTTATAGAGCTTACTAAGGGGACCCTTTTTCCGCTATGCCTTAATCTCTTTTAGTATTATATTATACGTATTACGTTCGTCGTCTTAAAGCTTCTTATTATCGGTAATAAAGAGGAAAGCTTTAGCGGTAAGGTTAATAATATAACCTTAGTAGCGGAGTTAGTAAGATTTAGGATTATATTAGATATTATATCGACGTAGAAGGCCTATAAATATTAAGGCTAGTTAGAAGAAATAGTACGCTATACTTACTAAGGGAAAGAGATCTTATTATTATATCGTTATTGCCTATATTATCTATTATAAAATATCTAAGGTTAAAAGTAAACCCTTAGTTATTAACTACTTTTAAAATTACTATCGTAAGGTAATATCTATTATACTTACTATCGATGTCTTTTAAAGCTAAGATATAGTATTCTAACTAACTATCTTCTATAACGTAATAAGTAACTACGCCTAAGATAGCTAAAGAGTTAAGGGAAGTCTATAGGTCGTAGCTAATATAGATTTTTAACTTTACTAACTAAATACGCTACTTAACCTTCTCCCTTTAACCTTCGTACTACTATATAATCTATTTCTTAATAGTCTTATATATATCTAGAAGCTAAGTATCGATATCGGCGATAAGGTAAGCTAAGAATGCTTAGAATTCTAGGTATTTTATAAGCCTAAGTAGGAGAGAATAAGATATAATAAACCTTACGTATAAAGCTTTAAGCTAGTCTAGATCGATTAAGTCTCTAGATTAATCGTTAAGCTAATAGCGTTTTTAAGGATATTCTTTAGCTATAATATAAGCTAGCTTAAGAATAGTTTATATATTCGTAACTTTAGCTATTTATAGCGCGCCTTTTAAGAGGCCGTAACCGTTAAGAGGAGGATCCGTAAGGTGCTTAGCTAAGGCCGTAGTTCTACTAAAATAGTAATACGTTTTATTATAGTATTTATAGCGCTATTCTTCTTTTCCGGTCCGCTAATTATAGTATTTTATCTCTATATCCTCGTCTAGTATATAAGAAAAGACCTATAATATTCTTAGCGTAGCCGAAGGGGTTATAGAGGCTATACGAGTTCGCGACGATTAGCATTAAGTAGTTTAGGTCTTATCTAGATTATATAACTATAAGCTAGAAATCTCTAAGTATTCGTCTAATATTAACGAATCCTATCGCGGCGATATTTAAATAATAGGCAGGTATTATTAAGGCATCGAGATTGCTTATAAGTCCTAGGGTAGGAGAAGCAGGGTTAAGGAGGAAAATAGTATATAGACGGCGAGCCGCTACCCTATAGGTCTGGATTTATATATATATTTACGCGTTTCCGTGCGCTAATAGGAAACTTTTATAGCCTAGAGGTCCGCTAAACAAAAAATAATGTATCGAACATACTTATATTTACGCGTTTTCTTTTACGCGTTATTATATTAGCGCGAATTACGGGAACGGAAAGGCGAATAGCTACTAAATAATATAAATAATATAAGTAATATATTGCTAGTATAGATAGCCTTATATTATATAGTTATAATATAACGGCGAGCATATTATATTAGTATAATATAGGAAATCACGTATTATATAGTATATACTATAGTATACTACTTTATTGTTATATTATTAGCAATACTATATATCGCCGGCTCGAAATAACTGCCCTAAGGCGCCGTCTTTATCGTAACGTTAGAAAACCTCCTTTATAAGGTGGTGCCGCTAGTCGCGTTGGTTGGTATAACGATTCTATCTCGGCTGCCCACGAAGCTGACTCTCACAAGAGCAGTCAGTCTTAAGGAGAAGGACCACACGAGTGCCCACCAACTCCCCCCGCCAACTATGTCCAGGGCCCTCGCCTGCTCTAATAGCCACTACTATCTATACTGCCCATTTAATCATTATAATCGGCTATGACGGACGGCACGGCCAGCTCTTTAACCAGCTACTCGCCAAATATTTGCTATATCAGCCGTGTATATGGCTGTTATATTGTCGGCCGCCGGCGAATGCATTGTTAAAGCTCCTGGCCTACCGTTGAAAGCATAATAACGATGCTTTAGCCTTCTACGCGAATTCGGGCAGCAGTTGCTTCGATAGGTGATAGCGTGATATAAGACAGAAATGCTAGAATCAATTATATGTAGAATTAGCTATAGAGGTGTTAGTAGGTCTCAATGCATGCATGCATAGATAATAGAGGTAACTAGTGTGTTATAATCGTCTATAAGGATTGTCTATCGAAAAGGGGGAGGAGGCCACGATGCTAGTTATATGGCCTCAGCCGTCCTCAGCAGCACACGTGACTGTGTACGTAAGCTAGCTAGATGAGTACAATAGACTAATACATTCCCATAGGAGGCTTATTTGTTAACTTTACGCGCGCCTTCGATGTACCTACGATGTACCTACATACCGTGGGTCCGTAACCCTTGCTCCTCCCGCACAGCCCAAGGGATACAGCGCCAAACAGCGACATACGGCGCCACACAGGTCACCACGCCCCGGGGCCCTAGGACGCTACTCAGGGCCATACAGCGCCATACAGCGACCCACGGCGCCACACAGCCACGCCCTGCGCCATATAGCGCCATACAGCGACATACAGCGCCATACAGCGACCCACGGCGCCATACAGCGACATACAGCGCCATACAGCGACCCACGGCGCCACACAGCCACGCCCTGCCACGCAGTGCCATATAGCGCCATACAGCGACAGACAGCGCCATACAGCGACAGACAGCGCCATACAGCGACAGACAGCGCCATACGGCGACAGACAGAGACAAGACAGGACCATTCAGGGCATAGGGACACTGGCGATGGTGGTCGGCAACCAAATTTTCAGTGACATACTTATGTAACGGCGGGATAATGAGTACAAATGTGCTAGTGCCTTGAGGAACGAAAGGACTTCATTAGCGCGCGGGGAAAAAAGGCCCCAGACTGCTTCACCCCCACATCCTCCGCCTCTGATTGGCTGATTTATTTCCTCTTTCGGAATAAAAGATCCCGTGTGATTGGTCGCCGACCCTTCCGTCCCTCCCTCATCATTGGTCGCTGCCGCCTTCTCTTGCCCCTCTCATGCCTTGCCCTGTTTCCCCGTTTATACTCCTGTTTACCCTTGCCAATGCCAATGCCAACCTTTTTCCTTTCGTCCGCCGGTTTTCTTATTGTGTCTAAAACTTGCGTCTTTTGTCTTTGCCCTTTTCGTTCATGCCTTTCTAGCGGGTTCTTCCTTCAAGTCTAAAAGTCGCCCTCGTTGATCGCTGCTGCCCAGTGCCCTTGTCTTCTTGCCCGCCGGCGCGCTCCTCCGTCTTCTCCCCCTCGTCACCTCACCCTGACAACTCTCCTTGACTCTTCAGCGTCGCCATCCGACCGACGCAAAGCTTCCTCGACAGTCCTCTCGCTTAGCACCTCCAGCCTGGCCTGCGCGGCGGTCATCTCTTCGGGGACTCGGTTGCCCACCAAGTCTCTCTCCCGCACCTTGGACACGAGCGTGATGCCGTCTAGCGTTCGACAGCGCGATAGCTGCACATATAAGCTGTACGGGTCGCATTGCGAGGGCACGGCCCTTCCATCGACTTTCGTCGTCCGTGTCCCCCGCAGCTCCAGGGCCACGCGCTCTAGCGTTCTGCCCTGCACCTTGTAGTCCGTGCAGGCGAAGGCTGCTGCGCACGGCAATCCCTTCCGGCTGACGTCGTTCTGCTGCCACGGCCGCTTTCGTTGGCAGTGTATCCTGACGCTCATCGGCGTTAACAAGATCGTGCCCGGCGGCATCCCGACGAAGTGGAGGTCCTTTGTCGTCGCCGATTCCAGTAATATCCCGCCGGCGGCCCGAAGTGGATCGTCATGTCGGACGAGATTCGATGCCCTGGGGACGCCTTGTCGACAATGACCTCCACCGCCGAGTAGCCGGCGCCGTTCACCAGCTTCAGCCCCTGATGGGTGTTGTGGTTCACGACGACCGGCATCCCGGCCACGAACATGAAGACGGCCGGCACGGGGATCGCGCTATCGTCGCCTTGATTGAGTACCATGATCGCTTCTTCCTCGGTCGGCAGGCCCTCCTTCCACTTGTGCTCGGAGATGAAGATGCGCATCGTCGACCGCTGCTGGACCCGGAACGCCAAGCTTGCCTCCATGTTTAGGTTCCACCGATTCCTGTTCAGCGGCGTCACCACGGTGATGCCAGTCTCCCAAGGATCCGCCTGCCCTCGCGGTAGCACCTGAGTTGAGGAGGTCCAGATCCGTGCGGTCCTGCACACCCTGCCGGATCCGCTTCAGCAGCCCCTGCAATTCCGGATCACCGGCGGCGCGCATTTGCTCGTTCAACATGACGACCGTCGTGAATCTCTTCCACAGCGCGTGCGCTTTGTCGTGCTGGTGCCGCTGCTCGGCCTTGAACGAGTTGTCTACGTCCCACGAGATGGCCGCGCTCGGCAGGACGATCGACCTCTCTTGGACCGGCCGGAACTGCTGAAAGTCTCCGCAGAAGAGGACGATGGGGATCCCCGAAATCTTTCTGCGATCCGCGAAGCCGACAGAGTCGCTCGTTTATGGCGTGCAGCGTCCGCGCTCCGAGCATGCTCACCTCGTCGATGACAAGCACGTCCTTCTCCTGCCAGTCCATCCGAGACTGGCCGTGGATGAACCGCTCCGCCCGTTTTGTCAGCCGCACCCCGTCAAGGTCCTTGGCTGTGTTCGCGCCGCCCCCCCTTGGTCTTTAGTGAACCCGCAGGCGGAGTGGATCGTGATGCCGTTGATCTGCGCCGCGGCAGTCCCTGACGTCGCCGTGATCAGCAGACGATTCGAAAGGCTCTTCCCACTGAACAGCTCGACGAGTGCCCCAATGATCCGCGACTTGCCGGTGCCCCCCTCGCCGCCGACGAACTGGCAGAGCTGGCCGGCATCGCCCTATTCGTTTGTCGCATCAAATCGAGCTGGCGGCATATTATTAGGAAAGCGATCGACTGCCTCTTGTTCAGCGTTAGCCGTGTTGACAACTCCTTGCCCGCCGCGAAGAAGGAGGTCGATGGGCCAAGCTGGACGCGCATTCCCGCTTCTGCGTCGCTAGCCGTCTCGTCGGAGTCGGCTGTCGTCATTTCGACGTCGTCCTCCCCGAAGCCGGTCATCACCCTCCGCAACGCAGCTCGGCGATCGCTTTCCCGGACTGCGACTGTGGTTTGTACGCCTTGGATCATTCTCTCCTTTCCCTCGACGCACTTATCTGCTGCGACTTGATAGCCTTGACCTGATCCTGCGGCGGTAGTGCGGCCCCGGAAAATACCCGCCCTGGCATGCTTATGCACCTCAACCCTTGTTCGGGAATCGCGATGGCCTCGAGCTCGGCCGTTGAGCAGAGCGCCGATTGCTGGAATCGACAGAGCTGCCGCATCATTGCCATGAGCTCCGGCGACTTGGCCGTCACCTGATTCGTGCCCACTGCGCCTCGGACGACGTCGATCAGGCGCGTTGCGTCTCCGATGTTGTTGGACCGATACGTCGCTGCAAATTCTGCGCCCGCCTCGCCTGTCTCGCCCTCCTCGACGTGGGCGACCGTGGAATCGCCATCGCCGGATGAGGCCGCCCATTGCTTGGCGTCGCGCTTTGCGTCTTCGGCTGATCGTCGAAGCAGCTGCACGTTGTCGACGAGACATGATATTCTCGGGGCCAGCGCCTCTCGCGCCCGCTCCCAGATGCTATTGATCTCACCTGTTTCTTCGCACAGAAAGGACTCCCACGGCACAAATAGCGCAAGATGCTGCACGGCTGCCCTTTAAGGGGAGGGGAGGTTAGCCACTCTGATGATGCCTGCCGGCAGGGCGGTTGCTATACACACCTCCGGTGGCACGACTCCTCGTCGTCGTTGTGGCCGAAGTCCTTGCTCAGGTAGCCATCGAGGCAGACGGTAGCATGCTTGCCCGGCCGCCTGAGCACCTGGACCCAGCGTCTCCTGGCGCCCATCCATCCTCGAAGGGCACCTCCCCAGGCCGCACAGCTCTCATCCTTACTGGTGCGTTTTAGTCTAACGACCGATATGTAGTCGTATAAGCATAGCCCTCGCAGGAGCTCTCCCGGTGCTGGTACGCCTCAACGTGGGAGATCCTCAGGCCTGCTTCTTCGACAACGACCGACTCATCCAGAGTATCATCTATGGCCGCCGCGCCACTTGCTCGTCGGAGATACGGCCACCGTCGAAAGACTTCCCAGTACAGCAGAGATGTGTTCAGGTACGCCCAGGCGCTGCTGTTGGTGAACTCGGCCGGATATCCAAGAAGATGAGCGACGACCTCGACCTGAGATAGCGGACGCTCCGTGAACACACGATTCGCCACCCTCATCAAGAACTGTCGCGTCCTGTTCCCTTGGCGGCGTCATCGCCAACAGCACCTCCACCGTCGTCCTGTCCTCCGTTGGCCGTGCCGTCACCCGTTGAGGCGGCCAGGAGATCGGCCGCGGCCGCCACACGCTTCCACACCGGGTCCTCCACCTTCGTCGCGTAGTTCGTGACATAATACATAAGGGCCATGGTCTTGCGCTGCGTCGCAATGAAGGAAATGTCGTGGTTGTGCCGGAGCCCAACAGCGATAGCCTTGTTCCATCGATTGACCATGCTGTGAGTCCTCCGGATCTGCAACACCCCGTCTGCCGTGATGGCGGTCTTGTCGACCAACCTCCATGGAGACTTAAACCGGCATAGATTCCTTTCCGCGCTCCTTTGCCCAAGGAATACTTGACACAGGTCGGGCTATGCGTGTGAACCTGTGTAGCGCCGGCACAGAAGTTGGCCTCCTCGTCAAATGCGGCCGAAAACTGCTCGGTGTTGTCCAGCAGGGAGGAAATATCGGACGTCACAGATCGCTCCGCTTGCACGGCGCAGAACCCTTCCTGATCCAGATCCTATCTTGCACGTCAGCCTGGCCCCGTTTGTCCATCGGACGAGCAATTCAGGTTCTCAGTGACACGTCTTAGCTATTCTTACCTCGGAGAAGACACTATCGACGTATCGTATGATTCGCTCGCGATACGCCGCCTGATCCTCCCCGTGGATGTCGGCAAGCATCGAGCTGAGATGCGCGTTTCCGTGCAACCAGAGCAAGCCGTGAACATGAAGCGCCCTCGTTCGTTGGTCTCCACAGCGCCATAGTACTTGCCGATGCGCCCGAATACCGACTCTTCTCCGACCTTCACGTAATGATCGAAGAACAGCTTCATCTCCCGGTGGAAGAATACGGCGGCGCTCATCGGATCGGACATGGCCAGCCTTGTCCGCTTGTACGCACTCCCAAGGCCTTCTAGGAACTCCTCGGCCGCGCCGGGATCGCGTGTCCGATATGCCGCCAGTCGCAGCTTCACCGGGTTCGTAATGTCGTTTGGGTTGATGGTGAACCAGATGGCCGGAACGCCGTAGCCAACGATGAGCGACTGGATTTTCCGCCGCATATTGAGCCGAACCTCTCGACATGGGTTGCCGGTGGCCGTACAGCGAGAGGCTCCTGAGAAGCTCCTTCACGCCCTCATCGGTCGTCTTGCCCGAGCTCTCCAACTCGACCCTCGCCGCCGCTAACCTTTGCGCGGTCATCGAGCGGGCAACGCGCTCGACCTTGCCGAAGTCCTTCCTCGCCACACTCAGCATGCTGACGCGGCGGTTCCTCGACCGCACCCCCATGTTGAAGACGAGAAATGCAAATATGTGGTGCAACGCAAACCGGCCACCATGGCGCCGGAGCACGATGTCGGCCCAAATCCGGAGGTTCAAGCTTCGGGAGGATACGATGTCTCCCGCTGCCGCCCCTGCCTCAGCAGCTCTACCGGTGCCTCGCAAGTTGGTAAGGGCCTTCCCGCCTCGGCTATGGCCTCTTCGGCCAGCCTTGGTCCCCAACGCCAAATGGGAACAGGGTCGGGAACGTTCTGGCGAAGAAGGACGTCTCAAAGGAGTCGGCAAACTCATCCCCGCGAGACTCGAATGTATGGCTCACTGCCATCGTCGCCACGCCCTCGACCCCACCGAGGATCCGACCCACGTTCTCGCCCGCGCGGCCGTCGTCGGCACCTGCGCCAACAGCGTCACAGGCAAACCGCAGCTTCTCGACATCCGCCACGTCTGGCGGTCCGTCCAGCCCAAACATGCCGGAAGACGTCACCTCGTTGATTGGTCGAACGTTCTGATCGGGGCTAGCACCAACTCCATCACGACCCGCGCCTTCTTCGTTGGGCCCGTGCCCTTCAGCCTCGCCTCCCGTTTCCTGCCTTTGGTTGAGCAGAGCGAAGAGTTCCTCGATCTCCACCGACCCCTCGTCGTCCATGGCGCGCTCCGTGGGCGGCACAACGTGCGCCGTCCGCGTTTTCTCCCATGCGGACGGCTCGTTCCGCTCCATGCGATCATACACCAAGGCCGGCACCCCGTCTATCGGGTCTCCCAACTCTCCATCTCCGCCACGTCGATCTCGATCTCGGCGTAGTGGGGTTGCTCCTCTTCAGCCAAACAAGAGCCCTCTCGACGACCCGCCGCCTCACCGACAAGAGACTCGACAGGTCGCTCGGTGCCGGCTTCTCCACGCCCTGCCACGAAACGTGGATCTCGTCCAGTGCTTGCAAAAGGGGGTGCGGGAGCACCTTGGTCGCCAGCTCCTGCACGTTGTTGGGAAACACTGTGATGTGGCCCTGACGTGCCTCGGATCCCTCACGGCCTGCCTCTGCCCGCCCGGAATGCTATATCTCGTGACAAACCCATAGCAGGAGTTGAGCGAGACGAGCTTCTCTTCGACCAGCGTGAGTCCCTTGAGCTCGTCAGGAACATGTGCTCACAGCCAAGGCGAGTGTGAAGATGGACCGCCGGCGACAGACTCCCGCGCGCCAGGCATCGGGCACACTCCGCACACACCGACACGGGCTCGCCTTCGGGAAAGCAGCTCCGGCATGAAAATGGTGAGCGGCCGCCCTCTGGCACGCAGCTTGACAGCCATTGATCCCATCTGATCTCCCTCAGCTCTTTTCTCGTACGCTTGCGGTAGCACATCATGCAGGTCCGTATCGGCAACGTGCTCGCATCGTGGAACGCCTGATAAAAATCCCGCACCGTCGACACCTTCCTGTCGTGCGGTATTGGCTCACCGGACCCCATGGTCGTCCTAATTCAGCCGGAGGCTGACTCTACATCAATCCATAAGTTTCCCGAATAATGAGGGTTTGCCTTGAGGAACGAAAGGCCTTCTAATAACGTGCCCCGCAGACCCCGCCCTCTCCCCCCAAAAGTTCTCCGCCCCTTGATTGGTCCCTTGTGATTGGTCCCTCCTTGCCTCCCTCCTCGTTGGTCGCTGCCCTTCCCCCGGCTTCTGTTGCCTTTTCGCGTGCCTTATCCCACCACTAGGCGCCTCCCACCCTGTCTGCCGCCTGCCGACTCTTCCCGCCTGCCGAACTCTTCATCGCGTCACCTAGCGCGGCCGCCTTGACTCTTCAGCATCACCGTCCAGCCAGCGCAACGCCTCCTCAACGGTCCTCTCGCTCAGTACCTCGAGCCTGGCCTGTGCGGCAGTCATCTCCTCGGGGACCCGGTTGCCCACCAAGTCTCTGTCCCGCACCTTGGACACGAGCATGATGCCGTCTAGAGTTCGGCAGCGCGATAGCTGCACGTACAGGCCGTACGGGTCGCACTGCGAGGGCACCACCGTTCCATCCATCTTCGTCGTCCGTGTCCCTCGCAGCTCGAGGGCCACGCGCTCCAGCGTTTTGCCCTGCACCTTGTAGTCCGTGCACGCGAACGCTGCTGCGCACGGCAAACCCTTTCGGCTGACGTCGTTGCGTTGCCACGGCCTTTTTCGCTGGCACTGTATCTTAACGGTCATGGGTGTCAACAAGATCGTGCCCGGCGGCATCCCGACGAAGTGGAGATATCTCGTCGTCTCCGATTCGAGAATGATCCCGCCGGCGGCCCGAAGTGGATCGTCATATCGGCCGAGATCCGATGCCCCGGGTACGCCTTGTCGACAATGACCTCCACCGCCGAGTAGCTCGCGCCGTTCACTAGCTTCAGCCCCTGGTGGGTGTTGTGGTTCACGACGATGGGCATCCCGGCCACGAACATGAAGACGGCCGGCACCGGGATCGCGCTATCGTCGCCCTGGTTGAGTATCATGATCGCCTCTTCCTCCGTCGGCAGCTCCTCCTTCCACTTGTGCTCGGAGATGAAAATGCGCATCGTCGACCGCTGCTGGACCCGGAACGCCAGGCTCGCCTCCATGTTCAGGTTCCACCGATTCCTATTGAGCGGCGTCACCACGGTGATGCCCGTCTCCCAAGGGATCCGCCTTCCTCCCGGTAGCACCTTGAGTTGAGGAGGTTTAGATCCGTCCGATCCTGCACGCCTAGACGGATCCGCTTCAGCAGCCTCTGCAGCTCCGGGTCGCCGGCGGCGCGCATCTGCTCGTCCAGCATGACGACCGTCGTGAACCTCTTCCACAGTGCGTGCGCTTTGTCGTGCTGGTGACGCTGCTCGGCCTTGAACGAGTTGTCTACGTCCCACGAGATGGCCGCGCTAGGCAGGACGATCGACCTCTCTTGGACCGGCCGGAACTGCTGAAAATCTCCGCAGAAGAGGACGATGGGGATCCCCCCGAAATCTTGCCGCGATCCGCGAAGCCGGCGAAGCCGCTCGTTCACGGCGTGCAGCGTCCGCGCCCCGAGCATGCTCACCTCGTCGATGACGAGCACATCCTTCTCCTGCCAATCCATTCGAGACTGGCCGTGGATGAACCGCTCCGCCTGTTTCGGCAGCCGCACCCGTCAAGGTCTTTGACCATGTTCGCGCCCCGCCCTTGGTCTTTAGTGAACCCGCAGGCGGAGTGGATCGTGATGCCGTTGATCCGCGCCGCCGCAGTCCCCGACGTCGCCGTGATCAGCAGACGATTCGAAAGGCTCTTTTACTGAACAGCTCGACGAGTGCCTCGATGATTCGCGACTTGCCGGTACCGCCCTCGCCACCGACGAACTGGCGCAGCTGGCAGGCATCGCCCCGTCGGTCTGCTGCATCAAATCGAGCTGGCGGCATATTATCAGAAAAGCGATGGACTGCCTCTTGTTCAGCGTCAGCCGTGTTGCCAACACCTTGCCCGCCGCGAGGAAGGAGGTTGATGGGCCAAACTGAACGTCCATTCCCGCCCCTGCGTCGATAGCGGTCTCGTCGGAGTCGGCCATCGTCATTTCGACCTCGTCCTCCCCGAAACCGGTCATCACCCTTCGCAACGCTGCGCGGCGATCGCTTTCCCAGGCGGCGGGCGTGCTTTGTATCCCTTGGATCATCCTCTCCCTCTCCTTCGAGGCACTTACCTGCTGCGACTTGATAGCCTTGACCTGATCCTGCGGCGGTAGTGCGGCCCCGGAAAATACCCGCCCTGGCATGCTTAACCGCCTCTCCTCGTTCGATCAGCGCCGTGGCCTCGAGCTCGGCCGTCGAGCGCAGCGCCGATTGCTGAAACCGACAGAGCTGCTGTATCATTGCCATGAGCTCCGGCGACTTGGCCGTCACCTGATTCGCTCCCACTGCACCTCGGACGACGTCGATGAGCCGCGTTGCGTCTCCGATGCTGTTGGGCTGATATGTCGCTGCAGACTCCGCGCCCGCCTCGCCTGCTCCACCCTCCTCGACGTGTGCGACCGTCGGGTCGCCATCGCCGGACGAGGCTGCCCATTGCTTGGCGTCGCGTTTTGCGTCTTCGGCGGATCGTCGAAGCAGCTGCACGTTGTCGACGAGACATGATATTCTCGGGGCCATAGCGTCTCGAGCCCGCGCCCAGATGCTGTTGATCTCACCTGTTCCTTCGCCCAGGAAGGACTCCACGGCACGAACAGCGCAAGATGCTGCACGGCTGCCCTTCAGGGGTGGGTTAGCCTCTCCGATAATGCCCGCTGACAGAGCAGTTGCCATACACACCTCCGGTAGCACGACTCGTCATCGTAGGTGAAGTCCTTGCTCAGGTAGCCGTCGAGGCAGACGGTAGCGTGCTTGCCCGGCCGCCTGAGCACCTGAACCCAGCGTCGTCCCGGCGCCCATCCATCCTCGAAAGACATCTCCCTGCCGCCCAGCTCGTCGTTGCCGATGCGTTTCAGTCTGACGATCGATATGTAGTCATACAGGCATAGGCCTTTCAGCAGCTCTCCCCGGTGCTGGTACGCCTCGACGTGGGAGACTCTCAGGCCTTCTTCTTCGACGACGACCGACTCATCCAAGGTGTCATCCATAGCCGCAGCGCCACTGGCTTCTCGGAGATGCCGCCATCGCCGAAAGACTTCCCAGTACAGCAGAGAACAGTTCAGGTACGCCCACGCGCTGCTGTCGGTGAACTCGGCCGGATATCCGAGAAGGTGAGCGACGACCTCGACCTGTGATAGCGGACGCTCCGTGAACACGCGGTTCGCCACTCTCATCAGGAACTGTCGCGTCCTGTTCCCTTGACAGGGTCATCGGTGGCAGCGTCTCCGCCACCGTCCCGCCCTCCGTTGGCCGTGCCATCACCTGTTGAGGCGGCCAGGAGCTCGGCCGCGGCCGCCACACGCTTCCACACCGGGTCCTCCACCTTGGTCGCGTAGTTCGTGACATAATAGATGAGGGCCATTGTCTTGCGCTGCGTCGCAATGAAGGAAATATCATGGTTGTGCCGGAGCCCGACAGCAATAGCCTCGTTCCATCGATTGACCATGCTGTGTGTCCTCCGGATCTGCAGCACCCCGTCTGCCGTGAGGGCGGTCTTGTCGACTAACCTCCATGGCGCCTTGAACCGGCAGAGGTCCCCTTCCGCCCTCCTTTGCCCAAGGAATACTTCACACAGGTCGGGCTATGCGTGTGCACCTGCGTCGCGCCGGCACAGAAGTTGGCCTCCTCGATAAACGCGGCCGAGAACTGCGCGGCGTTGTCCAGCAGCGAACCAATACCGCCTGTCACAGATCGCTCCGCTTGCACGGCGCAAAAACTTTCCTGGTCCAGATCCTGCCTTGCACGTCAACCCGGCCCCACTTGGCCATCAGAAGAGTACTTCAGGCTCCCGGTGGCACATCTTAGGTAGGCATTCTTACCTCTGAGAAGACGCTATCGATGTATCGGACGATTCGCTCGCGATACGCCGCCTGATCCTCCCCGTGGATGTCGGCAAGCATCGAGCTGAGATGCGCGTTCCCGTGCAGCCAGAGCAAGCCGTGAACATGAAGCGCCCTCGTTCGTTCGTCTCCACGGCGCCATAGTACTTGCCGATGCGCCCGAATACCGACTCTTCACCGACCTTCACGTAATGATCGAAGAACAGCTTCATCTCGCGGTGGAAGAACACGGCCGAGCTCATGGGATCCGATATCGCCAGCCGTGCCCGCTTATACGCATCCCCAAGGCCTTCTAAGAACTCCTCGGCCGCGTCGGGATCGCGTGTGCGGTATGCCGCCAGTCGCAGCTTCACCGGGTTCGTAATGTCGTTCGGGTTGATGGTGAACCAGATGGCCGGCACGCCATATCCGACGATGAGCGACTGGATTTTCCGCCGCATATTGAGACGGACCTCTCTCGAAATGGGCTGCCGGTGGCCGTAAAGCGAGAGGCTCCTGAGAAGCTCCTTCACGTCACCATCGGTCGTCTTACCCGAGCTCTCCAACTAGACCCTCGCCGCCGCTAGCCTTTCTGTGGTCATCGAACGCACGATGCGCTCTACCTTGCGGAAGTTCTTCCTCCCACACTCAACATGCTGACCCGGCGGTTCCTCGACCGCACCCCATGTTGAAGACGAGAAATGCGAAGATGTGGTGCAGTGCAAATCGACCACCATGGCGCCGGAGCACGATCTCGGCCCACGCCTGAAGGTTCAAGCTTCGAGACGATACGGGTCTCCGCGGCCGCCTCTGCCTCGACAGCCCTGCCTCGCAAGTTGGCCGTGACCTTCCCGCGTCGACCATGGTCTCTTCAACCAGCCTTGGTCCCCAACGCCAAATGGGAACAGGGTCGGGAACGTCCTGGCAAAGAAGGACGCCTCAAAGGAATCGGTAAACTCACCCCGCGAAACCCGGATGTATGGCTCACAACCACCGTCGCCACGCCCCCGAACCCCCCCGGCTAGGGACCCGACCCACGCTCTCGGGCCCGCACGGCCGTCGTCGGCACCTTCACCAACAGCGTCACAGGCAAACTGCAGCTTCTCCACGTCCGCGACGTCTGGCGGTCCGTCGAGCGCGAACATGCCAGAAGACGTCACCTCGTTGATCGCTGGAACGTTCTGGTCGGGGCAGGCGTCACTTCCATCGCGAACCGCGCCTTCTCCGTTGGGCCCGTGACCTTCACCCTGGCCGCCGGCTTCTTGTCCTTGGTTGAGCAGGGCGAAGAGCTCCTCGATCTCCACCGGCCCCTCCTCGTCCACGGCGCGTTCCGTGGGCGGCACAACGTGCGCCGTCCGCGCTTTCTCCCACCCAGACGGCTCGTTCCGCTCCATACGATCGCACACCGACGACGGTACCCCGTGTATCGAGTTTCCCAGCTCTCCATCTCCGCCGCGTCGATCTCGATCTCGGCGTAGTGGGGTTGTTCCGCTTCAGCCAGACAAGGGCCCTCGACCACCCGCCGCCTCACCGACAAGAGACTCGACAGGTCGCTCGGTGCCGGCTTCTCCGCGCCCTGCCACGAGATGTGGATCTCGTCCAGTGCTTGCAAAGGGGGTGCGGGAGCACTTTGGTGGCCAGCTCCTGCACATTGTTCGGAAACACCGTGATGTGGCCCTGACATGCCTCGGATACTTCACGCTCTGCCTCTGCCCGCCCGGAATGCTATATCTCGTGACAAACCCGTAACATGAGTTCAGCGAGATGAGCTTCTCTTCGACCGGCGTCAGTCCCTTGAGCTCATCGGGGAACATGTGCTCGCAGCCAAGGCGACTGTGAAGGTGGATCGCCGGCGACAGGCTCCTGCGCGCCAGGCATCGGCCACACTCGGCGCACACCGACACGGACTCGCCCTCAGGAAAGCAACTCCGGCATGAAAATGGTGAGCGGCCGCCCTTTGGTACGCAACTTGACAGCCAATGATCCCATGTAATCTCCCTCAACTCTCCTCTCGTACACTTGCGGTAGCACACCATGCAGGTCCGTATCGGCAACGTGCTCGCATCGTGGAACGCCTGATAGAAGTCTCGCACCGTCGACACCTTCCTCTCGAGCGGTATTGGCGTGCACCACGTCTGATCGTTAGACAATCTCTCCTTCAAGGCAAAGTCTTCCTCCAAAAAGCGCAGCACACTCGCCAGGTCTTCGGCCTGCAGCTCCCGTCTCCTATGCCTTCCGATTCCACTTCGGACCTGTTTTATCGGGCGCCCATCCCGGCTAGGAAGACGGGCTCTCTTCTCCCGCCTCCGGGACTGCCTCTGTCCGCGCAGCGAGCCGTCCGCTGCCTCTGCTGCGCCATCGTCCACACCCACCTGTGCCCTTGGCCGCCGAACCGGTCCCCGACGGAGCTTGGGCAAACCCCATGCAATCGATGCTGCAAATTGCGCCGTTCGTCTTAGGTCTTGGAAAGTCGTATCCTTGGGCTGGATAGGTCGGAGCGTCGGTCCCTTTTCGAACGAACACCCGGGACACCGCCGGTCGCCGCCTTATCTCCCTGCCCGTCACCTTCAGGACCCCTCTCCTGGGGCAAAAACGGCCGATGAAGGGGCGGACTGTCAGAGCCCACTGCCCCCTGGTCTCCACGTTCTGTAGGCAACACGAACCTCGGAAGCGGACTCGGTGACTGACGTTGCGCGGAATTTCCGCTGCTGACCAAATTACGGACTTCCGTGCTCTGCTTGACCGCAAACCGCCTCGCGGCGGTCTTCTCGGCAGTGACTTTGCGATCGCCTCTGCATGCTTTCTCCATGCGGTTTCTTCGACCGCAGACTGCTTAGGCTGAATCAGCCGGAACGTTAATGCTTCATTCGCCACTGATCTGTATCTCCCGAACCGCCCCAACCTTGTCTCCCGTGCTCCGTGCCCTTCTCGGGAGTTGCCCCTGTATCATCTCCGCACCCCGAAACAGGCACTCCCCCGTTCCTACCCTCTTCTCCATCCTCGACTGACAACGAACAGGCTCCACGGTGAGCGGCCGCCTCGCCTAGCTTCCCTGCAGGACTATCCGCCATGCTACTGCCTCCTCAACGTCGACTAGCGTGGATTGGCAACAGGCTAGAAAGTTTTGGCTCCGGAGCACTTCCACTTGGATAATCTCGCTTCTTGGCGTACACTATTTCTTTCCGAGTGGGAAGCTTCCTAACGATCACTACTCTCATGGCCGTGGCATTTCTTCCCTATAAAATGCTTCCCTATGGTACCGAGGCGATGCAATACTACTACCCCTTTGTAATCCCCATTTACCCTCCCTATGTGCGTCCACCGTCCCGACCTCGGCTGATCTCCACGTGCGACCTGCTACCCCAGCTTTGCCAAAGGCGGCCCTTCCATCGCCGTGCTCTCTTTGCGCACTCCAGCGAATCCTGGCTACTGCCGACCTCCGGCACATGGGGTGGCCGCGCCAACCGCCCGCCGCACACTTCCAACCATACTCTCGGCCCTTCCAACGCCTTCCCACCCACCTTGCGCATCAGTTGCTCCATCAATATCTGCCACTCCACCTCGTCGAGCAACAGCCAAAAGGCTGCCGGCGATAACATGTCCACGGTGTCCTCGGGCAACCGGACTACCCGGCTAGATTTGCTCCCTCGCCACCACCAACGTCGCATCAACGGCCTTCATGCTAAAGCGACAGCCAGGATCCCCCTGCCTGTCCTCTTGTAGTCGCTAGCCACCGGAGTCTCGACTTGCAAACCCTCTTGAGAGTTCTCGTGACCAACTCGCATCCTCCTCCTCAGGTCGTCCCCTATATCCGACTTCACCGTGTCCCAATAGTGGACTCGACACGGTCGGCACCCGCCTCGCTCAGCCGCACGCAATGCCCATCCAACTACCGACGACCGTCAAAAAGGGACCCCTGCAATACTACCATAACCTCTTTCTTTCCTTCACTCTCATTCGTTATTGTCGCCTTTGCTATCTACTCCATGCAACGATGACACCGAAGGGTACTGCTGGACTTTCTTTCTCCGCAGACTTACCCACACTAACCTTACTGTTCGCCGACCTCCAACTTCTCGCGACATAGCCATCACCCCTACTCAACTTCCAACCCCGGCTCCTACTTCACTCACGACCATAGAACCAGATGGTCGAGACTGTTCAAGAACCTCGCCAGCTCATTCCCGCATACCCCCGCTTCTGATCTATCATCTAGGTAGCATTCTCTGACTCTTAAGTCTCCCCGACCCTAGCCGCGAGCCCTCTTTCGAGCAGCAAGAAAACCTGCTTTATAGGATGCCCACCTCCACTCTGCGTAACCCCTCATTTACACTTCCACGGTGACTACATCTGCCATGTTCTCACGATGTCGGCCTCCCAGCTCAACGTCGATACCTCGTCCTCCCGCGGCAACCTCTTGACAGCCAGAAAATGCTGGCGCCGACATGTCCATGATGGCCTTTGTCCAGCCCGGCTGCCCGGCTAGGTTCGCCTACCAGAATGAGCATCGTGTCAAAGGACTCAACGCAGAAACCCTAGCGAGGGTCTTCCTTCCCACGCCCTCATGGCTGTCGACTCCGGAGTATGCAGCAATCCGGTCAGATACTGGCAATCCATCGACCTGCATCTTCTTCAGCCTTAATATTTCCATATACAACCAACAGATAATCTCCTCGGAATGGACCGAGCAATGGTTCTTCATGGTCGGCCGTGTTCATCCCTTTGCCCTGACGTGGGAAATCGAGCGACGTGATGGCTTGGAGTCGGACGATGATAACATCACAGAATACACCGTCCCCGCGCTTATAGTCCGCGATCACAGCTACCAACCGTGAGTCTATGCTCCAAATCTCTCTGTCGCCACTGCCCTCCCTGACGATATCCATAGAATTGTCACTCGCACCCTCAGCTCGGTGGATACTTTCCCAACGATACAACCCATTGTCTCCTTCATGGGACCTGTCATCGGCTCCGGCCGCGACCTCCTGCATGGAAACTCGGCTGCGGCCCTTGACGACACCCAGCTGAGCTGCTGCGGCTTTGTCCAGCTCTCCACCTTTATTTGTCCTGGGATTCCCGGCAAACCCCTTCAAGGGCTTTCACCCTTCCAAGTTTTCGTCATCTTCCCATTCACGCTAATCCTTGGACCTCCTATGCAAGAAGATGACCGAGAGGCGCGACAGCCAGTTCCAGTCGAACGCTCTCTTCACCTGTACGGGCAAAATCGCCGGCTTACTGGATCACCAGATCATGAAACATGCCCCGGCTTTCGACCAAGACTATATCTTCATCGTCGTCCCCGACACGTGGACTTTCCACGACAAGGCCATGTCCGACCAGGCTTCTGCAACACAACTACTGCCGACGACACCCAAGAGCGCGGTCGGCAATCCTCGGACTATAGCGTTGCGTTGGCCAGGTTTACCTCTACGAAGAAACCCAAGGCCGCCCAAAGCCCCGCCTCCCCACGCCGCATGCTTCTGGCCCAGTCGATCCTTATGCTGGCATCAAGTCGGTCAATGCCCGATCCCTACCAAACCCCAACCAAGAGACCGCGACTTTCTCCCGAAACTTCCACCATAATCACCGACTGTGACGGTCAAGACTCCCCCAAATCCGATACCTCCTCCTTTCTGTCCCCGGAAGACCCCGCAGAGTCAGAGACGGACACCGAACAGGTCAATCACCAAGACACATCCGCCTCTGGCTCTATCAGACCTCCCGCGTCGATATCTTCCCGACCACTGCGCGCCCGACGTCCGCCCAAGAATATTCTCTAAACTTTAAAGCATCAAACGAAACAATACAACATGACAACATGTCTCATCATCCTCAAAATCAACTGCCAAAGGCTCGAATAGCACATTCTCTTCTCTTCTTGTTCTCCTTTTCATGAAGACGATCAAGTCAAAACTTCCCCAATATACTCCTTATTCTGTTTATACCTACGACTTATACCGGTAGCACATGTAAATTTTCCGAGCCTTCCACTCGCCCAGACATGCATTACCCACTCACATCTCTCTTCAACCCTGCCGTCTCTCCACGCCCTTTGAGTTTGCGCCTTTTAAACAAAATCTCCCTCCAGCGGCCTAGCCTGCCTCCCCGACGCTCTGTCTCGGTTTCACTCACGATAATGCTCTACGTCTCTCGCCGTGTCTCGTATCTCGACCTCACTCTTCTTCCTGTCTCCTATCTACTGTCGCCAACTCTCTCTCTCTTCTGTAGCCAACTCTTCTCCGGTTCTCTTGTCGCCAAATTTCGTTCCGAAAGGCTTCTTTGCGCGAGCCGCGGCTGGCGAGCCTTCCTCTCGTGGAGCAGACATGGGTCAATAAGTTTCCCGAGTTCTGATTGGCCCGAAATTTGTATGGACGGCCGCAAAACGTGCAACAACTGGACAACGGCTGCAAAAAGGTGGGACTAGGTGTCTGTGGCCCGTAACCCTGGTTTGTTTACTTGCGCGTCGCCTTGACGTGGAAACTTCGTTGAAGCAACGCGTCTTGATGCGTGGTTCGCTAAGTACTTAGTCCTAATTCTACTCCTCAAGGGCTTCAAGATGGACTTGATTTCCATCGTCTGTGCCCGCTGTGGCGAGGAAAAACCGGCGGGTGACTTCGTCAGCAAACGGAAGTCTGTTGGGAAGGCCAAGACCTGCCTCGCCTGTCGTAGTCAGTGCAATTCTCATGTCAGCTCTGTCTTCCTCACTCCGTAAGGCCATTCAACACTAACTAAATGAAGAACTCCAGATCCAGAGGCGTGATCCTAACGTTGAGGAATCTCGCCGCCCGTCCTTCCTTGGCCGAGAGACCTGCTCCGAAGAGAACTGAAGGGGATGCTGGTCTATCGCCTTGCAACGAGAGATCCGGAACCCAGCCCACATCGCCAGAGAAGCTACGGCAACTTCACACAACTAGGAGGTTATTCGGAGAGCCAAAGAGCCAGCCCTAGGTAGTGCTTAGGACGCCAATTCCACCAACCCAACAAAGCTCGCGGCTCTTCCGGACTCTTGCTCCCTCCCCAACCATACAACCAACGACCCATCCGATCGCCTCAGATTCTAATACATTTACTGTACGAAGCATCAGCATAGCCGACAAAGATTACTCTTACCTAGCGTCTAGGTTCCACAAAGGTGGGAAGCACTCACAAGATGATGCCTCCAAGACTGGGGCGAGGGCCAAGCAGGCCGCTATCCAGCGCGACCACCGTTCACGACGTCGTGCAGGGGAGATTGTGTCACCGACTCCCACAATGTCCCAACTCGGCGTCTTTAAAGGTTCGGAGGTTCCTGGAGAAGATATCCTTGCGCTGTGCTCGCAGTAGTTTGTTTGCGCTAACCACGGAACGTAGATGCGAGTCAAGATCGACTGCAGCTGATTGGGCTTCTAGATGGGGATGAGGTAAGGAGGGAAGGACATGACAGCGGCCAGTTCTCTGAGTCCGATATTGACGCTGAGGACTACTTCAACTTGCTGCTTTCACCCGCTCGACCTCGGCGGTACCTCAAACAATTAGGGGTAGAGCCCGATTCCGATCTAGGGGACGAAGACGAGGACAGCGATGATGATTACGTGGATGGAAACCCTCTTCGCCATCGCATGCGGCAGTATTCGGCACAGCCAAGGCCTGGCCGCCGTGGTCCTGCCCCCGGTACAGGAGGGCGGCCGAGACAATCTCGAAGGCAAACTCGACCGTCGAGGCCGCCACGACGTGTTCGGAGCCCGGTGATGATTCCACCTGAACAGTCGGCGGTATTTCACGCACAAGATCCGGCGTGGAATGGCGACCTCGACGCTTGCGCCTTGACTGACCGCGACAAGACCACCCTCCGCCAGTTCTAGACAAAGCTGGACAATGACCAAATGCAGTTTTGCAGTCGATGCCAAGAGAGTTGGTTTCAGATGAAGATCGATACTGACGGCATTTGTGCGCGTTGCTATCGAAAGGATGCGGAAACGCGGCCCCGCGAGCCGTATTTCTTCTCTGCGAATAATCAGCTCGACTTTGGCCCTGTGCCGGCCCGGTTGCCCGAGCTTACGCCTACCGAAGAGTCGTTGATTGCTCGTGTTCACGCCCACGTCAACATTATGCTTGTGCGAGGGCAGCAGTACAAATATCGGGGGCACGTCGTTCACTTCCTCCGCGAGGTTGGTAAGACTGTGCTGTTAGGGCCACGATGGACCCGGGCAGCAAAAGCGCGGTCGAGTGGCCTGCAATTCGGCCCCCTGTTAGCGAGCCACTAACAGCTCTTCCGGGGGAAGAATTTTTACGGGGGAGAGTTGGGAGGTCAAAAAGATTAGTTTAGTTTAGTTTAGTGTATTTTCCGTCCAGCAGCTTTGGCCGCTCAGGTCTCCGCGAGGGAGCACAGGACGTGCTAAGCTAGTGGGTATCTACATGCTATATATCACACATTTCACCCGCTATCCAGCATTTCATCGGCTCCAACGGCGCTCTTAGTAAGCCTGTTGCCCGTCAGCGGGACGTCCAGGTCTAATGGGAAACGCTGTCTATGATCATATCAGCAAGTAGCTATGGGGCCCTGGCAGCCCCTAGTTGACCTCGCCAGACGCTTGGTCGCGAAGCCGTAACGCCTCTTAAGGTCGACATGTATAAGGAGAGGTAGGGACGGGGGTGGTGAAGGGGAAAGTGTGAGATGGAAAGATGGAAATAATGGGTTGCCTAGTGGCGTGGGCAGATCCCTACGAAGAAGGAGCTCGCTTTCGCCAGCCTATCGAAGTCCTTGCCTAACGCTCGATTAACTGCTGTAGACGGCGAGGGCACGAGCCGTAGCCGGTAGTGTGGCGCAACCTTCCTGCAATAGAAGATATACGCAGGTTCTTTTCGTCGGCCGCACGAGCATATCGGTTGCGTATTATCGTGACCGAACCTTTTATAGTAATTAGCAAAATCCCTATAGTGGGCTCTTACTATAAGTAGATAATAGAGCAGGGGCCGAGAAAGCGACAATTCTAGCGGGCAGCTACTTATAGCTTTTAGACCGAGATCTCTATATCGTACCGGCGCAGAGGTTTCCTACTAGGCACTAAAAGCCTCTTTCCGCTATAGTCGGGCAATTTTTCGCAGATACGCTAGCGTCGGTTCGCTATTAGCGGATTCTAGCAGAGATAATCCCGCCTTTGCCAGAGCATCGGCCTCTTCGTTACCCGGGATGTTAGTATGGCCGGGGATCTAGTAGACCTCGATAGCTCCGTGTTCTCGCGCTAAAGATTAAAACTTAAGGAAGACCTCTTATAAGGAGTCGCTCGGCGTGCCTCGTAAGCACGTTGCGGTCGCGAGGTTATCGAGACAGATAAAGATACATTTACTGTCCGGGAGGCTTAACGCAGCCTTTTAATCCCTCTAGCGCACCTCTCGCCTTAGCGTCGAAGACCTCCGCTAGTCTAAGACGGCCCTTGCCGCTTAAGAGGGTAGATCCGTCCCGGTAAACGGCATAGCTATATCCGATATAGCCTTCCTTAGAACGAGACCTGTCGGAGTAGACGATAAGAGTTCGGGGCAATAGTGCTTAGAGCTAAGCGCGAAATTTCTTCGCCGTCTTATTTTTCGATATAGTCTATAGAGGCTTAGTCGGCTTACTAGTAAATCTACGTTATAGTAAAAGAGGTCTTAGGCAGCTCGATAGCATTCCGTCGGTACGCCGTAGCCTCGTTTAGAAGGGCTATAGCGGTTTTTAGTACTTTAGCTTAATTAGTTTATTTACGATCACGACGGGAGCTTCTAGTCGCGACGTTCGCCTCGCGAGCGGATAAGCTTCGTTAAGAGCTTTAAGACGCGTAGCAAAGGCCATCCGACGCCCTTCGAGGAGTAGAGGAATAGGCAGTATTCCCGCCTACCTATATAGCACGTTCGTCGGTATCGTCCTCCACACTAGCAGAACAGCCCGAAGAGACGAGTAGAGTACCTTACTTATCTTCTTAACGAGGTTGCTAATCCCCGACGGCCCCTCCTTAGAGGGCTTCGTCTAGCGCGGGGACGTCGGACCAGGGTACCAGGCCTCCGCCGCGTATAGTAGCACGGGGATAACGTAAGCGCAGACGGCTCGTCGTATAGCACTCGGCAGAGGGCCATATTTAGTGTTCGTTAGTCTCCTAAGGTAAAATATAATAGCTTGCGCCTTAGCCGTTTATTTCTCGACGTATGTCTCGAAAGAGAGAGAGCTATCGAGCTAAACGCCGAGCTAACGCATCGCTCGATCCGGCCGTTTCTTAAACTCGCCGTAGAGCACCGGCGGCGCCGTCTTAGGCTTCGTTCGAGAGAAGTATATTACTTCTATCTTATCGGGGTCGAAAGAGATCCCGTTAGCGGCGCCCTACGAAAGAAGCTCACGTATATAGTAAGATGCTTCGGCGGACGTTTTATTAAGGCTATCACCGACATATAGAATAGCAGTGTCGTCTACGTAGCCGAAGCGTCCCTAAGAGTAACCTAGGCGATATATCGGCTCCGTATATAATAGGAAGAGGATCGGCGAGACGGGCGACCCCTACGGCAGACCGTACTAAAGGGGCGATAAATCCGTTATAATATCTTAATAGCGGATACGTGCCGATCTATCTTATATAAACGAGCCGACCTAGCGCGCGAGGTTCGATAGCTATCTTTATTCTCGTAAGTGGAGGACTAATCTATTATAGAGAACTATATCGAAGGCGCCTTATATATCTAAGGTTACTAGGGTTACGACTTACTTCCGGGCGAATGCCTCCTCGATATCGTAAACTAAGGCAGCTACGAGATCTATAGCCGACCTCTTCGGAAGCGCGCCGGCTTATTATAGGTATAGTACGCCGAAGTAGATTAATCCCTACGCTAGACGCCGTGCAATAAGCCGCTCGAGGCCCTTACTAGATACATCGAATATATAGTTTAGTTTAGTTTAGTTTAGTATATTTTCCGTTTAGTAGATAGGCTAACTATAAGGTAGCGGCTCGCCGTCTATATACTATTTTCCTCCTTAACCCCGCTTCTCTTACCCTAGGACTTATAAGTAATCTCGATACCTTAATAATACCTACTTATTATTTAAATATCGCCGCGACGGGATTCGTTAATATTAAACGAATACTTAGAGATTTCTAGCCTATAGTTATATAATCTAGATAAGACCTAAACTACTTAATACTAATTATCGCGAACTTATATAGCCTCTATAACCCCTTTAGCTACGCTAAGAATATTATAGGTCTTTTCTTATATACTAGACGAGGATATAGAGATAAAATACTATAATTAGCGGACTAGAAAAAAAGAATAGCGCTATAAATACTATAATAAAACGTATTACTATTCTAGTAGAACTATAGCCCTAGCTAAGTACCTTATAGATCCTCCTCTTAATAGTTACGGCCTCTTAAAAGGCGCGCTATAAATAGCTAAAGTTATAAATATATAAACTATTCTTAAGCTAGCTCGTATTACGGCTAAAGAATATCCTTAAAAACGCCGTTAGCTTAATAATTAATCTAGAGACTCGATCGATCTAAACTAGCTCGAAGCTTTATATATAAGGTTTATTACGTCTTATTCTCTCTTACTTAAGCTTATAGAATGCTTAGAATTCTAAGTATTCTTAGCCTACCTTAACGCTAATATTAATACTTAGCTTTTAGATATATACGAGACTATTAAGAAATAGATTATATAGTAGTACGAAGGTTAAAGGGAGAAGGTTAAGTAGCGTATTTAGTTAGTAAAGTTAAAAATCTATATTAGCTATAACCTATAGACTTCCCTTAACTCTTTAGCTATCTTAGGCGTAGTTACTTATTATATTATAGAAGATAGTTAGTTAAAATACTATATCTTAGCTTTAAAAGACATCGATAGTAAGTATAATAGATATTACCTTATAATAGTAATTTTAAAAGTAGTTAATAACTAAGGGTTTACTTTTAACTTTAGATATTTTATAATAAATAATATATATAATAACGATATAATAATAAGATCTCTTTCCCTTAGTAAGTATAGCGTACTATTTCTTTTAACTAGCCTTAATATTTATAGGCCTTCTATATCGATATAATATCTAATATAATCCTAAATCTTACTAACTTTACTACTAAGGTTATATTATTAACCTTACCGCTAAAGCTTTCCTCTTTATTACTAATAATAAGAAGCTTTAAGACGACGAACGTAATATATATAATATAATACTAAAAGAGATCGAGGCGTAGTAGAAAAAGGGTCCCCTTAGTAAGCTCTATAACTTTATAGTTTTCGTCTAAAGTAGTATCTAGCGTCGCTAAAAGTTTCTAGCTATTAGCTATAATTATAAGCTTATACGAGATAACGATAAGAGGTAGAGTTTATAGTATACTATACTATAAGCGGCTTTATATCTTAGAGGCGTAGTTAAGGGATATTTTAATAAATAGGTAGAAGTAGATTATACTAAAGACAAGCTCTTTCTTAAGAAGTAGGTTATCCTTAAGAAGATTAAGTCTTTCTTAAAGAAGCTTAAAATAATAATAAAGGCCTTTAAGTCGTTATTTATAACTCTTAATAATATCCTCTTAGCTATAGACTTTATATTAGTATAATTTAAAGTAGGAAAAGAGGTATATATCGACGATCTAATTATAGCACTAATATATAACTTAGGCTAGGCGAAGATAGATAAGTACTATTATCTGATTAACGAATCGCTTACTTACGTCGCTGCGATTATACTTTACCCTTTATATAAATAGTACTATATATAC